AACACCTGTGAGGTCAAGACCAGTGTATGTCACGCCCTGTTTTCTTTCTGTTAGGTCAAGACCCGTGTATGTCACGCCCGGCGTTCTTTCTGTGAGGTCAAGACCCGTGTATGTCACGCCCTGTGTCTTTTCTGTGACCTGTATATATCACGCCTTGTGTTTTTTCTTTGAGGTCAAGACCCGTGTATGTCACGCCCTGTGTTTTTTCTGTGAGGTCAAGACCCGTGTATGTCACGCCCTGTGTTTTTTTCTGTGAGGTCAAGACCCGTGTATGTCACGCCCTGTGTTGTTTCTGTGAGGTCAAGACCTGTGTATGTCACGCCCTGTGTTTTTTCTCCAAGGTCAACACCTGTGTATGTCACGCCCTGTGTTCTTTCTGTGAGGTCAAGACCCGTGTATGTCACGCCGTGTGTTTTTCTCCAAGGTCAACACCTGTGTATGTCACGCTCTGTGTTCTTTCTGTAAGGTCAAGACCCGTGTATGTCACGCCCTGTTTTTTCTCCAAGGTCAACACCTGTGCATGTCACGCCCTGTGTTCTTTCTGTGAGGTCAAGACCTGTGTATGTCACGCCCTGTGTTCTTCTCTAAGGTCAACACCTGTGTATGTCACGCCCTGTGTTCTTTCTGTGAGGTCAAGACCCGTGTATGTCACGCCCTGTGTTTTTCTCTAAGGTCAATACCTGTGTATGTCACGCCCTGTGTTCTTTCTGTGAGACCAAGACCCGTGTATGTCACGCCCTGTGTTTTTCGCTAAAGTCAACACCCGTGTATGTCACGCCCTGTGTTCTTTCTGTGAGGCCACGACCCGTGTATGTCACGCCCTGTGTTTTTTCTGTGAGGTCAACACCTGTGTATGTCACGCCCTGTGTTTTTTTTCTGTGAGGTCAAGACCCGTGTATGTCACGCCCTGTTTTTTCTGTGAGGTCAAGACCCGTGTATGTCACGCCCTGTGTTCTTTCTGTGAGGTCAAGACTCGTGTATGTCACGCCCTGTGTTTTTTCTCCAAGGTCAACACCTGTGCATGTCACGCCCTGTGTTCTTTCTGTGAGGTCAAGACCCGTGTATGTCACGCCCGTGTTTTTCTCTAAGGTCAACACCTGTGTATGTCACGCCCTGTGTTCTTTCTGTGAGGTCAAGACCCTGTGTCACGCCCTGTGTCCAAGGTCAACACCTGTGTATGTCACGCTCTGTGTTCTTTCTGTAAGGTCAAGACCCGTGTATGTCACGCCCTGTTTTTTCTCCAAGGTCAACACCTGTGTATGTCACGCCCTGTGTTCTTTCTGTGAGGTCAAGACCCGTGTACGTCACGCCCTGTGTTTTTCTCTAAGGTCAACACCTGTGTATGTCGCCCTGTGTTCTTTCTGTGAGGTCAAGACCCGTGTATGTCACGGCCTATGTTTTTCTCCAAGGTCAACACCTGTGTATGTCACGCCCTGTGTTCTTTCTGTGAGGTCAAGACCTGTGTATGTCACACCCTGTGTTTTTTCCCTGTGTTATTTCTCCAAGGTCAATACCTGTGTATGTCACGCCCTGTGTTCTTTCTGTGAGGTCAAGACCCGTGTATGTCACGCCCTGTGTTTTTTTTCCAAGGTCAACACCTGTGCATGTCACGCCCTGTGTTCTTTCTGTGAGGTCAAGACCCGTGTATGTCACGCCCCGTGTTTTTCTCTAAGGTCAACACCTGTGTATGTCACACCCTGTGTTCTTTCTGTGAGGTCAAGACCCGTGTATGTCACGCCCTGTGTTTTTTCTCTAAGGTCAACACCTGTGTATGTCACGCCCTGTGTTCTTTCTGTGAGGTCAAGACCCGTGTATGTCACGCCCTGTGCTTTTTCTCTTAGGTCAACACCTGTGTATGTCACGCTCTGTGTTGTTTCTGTGATGTCAAGACCCGTGTATGTCATGCCCTGTGTTTTTTTCTGTGAGGTCAATTAACACCTGTGTATGTCACGCCCTGTGTTCTTTCTGTGAGGTCAAGACCCGTGTATGTCACGCCCTGTGTTTTTTCTCCAAGGTCAACACCTGTGAACGTCACGCCCTGTGTTCTTTCTGTGAGGTCAAGACCCGTGTATGTCACGCCCTGTGTTTTTTCTCCAAAGTCAACACCTGTGCATGTCACGCCCTGTGTTCTTTCTGTGGGGTCAAGACCCGTGTGTGTCACGCCCCGTGTTTTTCTCCAAGGTCAATACCTGTGTATGTCTTGCCCGGTGTTCTTTCTGTGGGGTCAAGACCCGTGTGTGTCACGCCCCGTGTTTTTCTCCAAGGTCAATACCTGTGTATGTCTTGCCTGGTGTTCTTTCTGTGAGGTCAAGACCCGTGTATGTCACGCCCCGTGTTTTTCTCTAACTTCAACACCTGTGTATGTCACAGCCTGTGTTCTTTCTGTGAGGTCAAGACCCGTGTATGTCACGCCCTGTGTTTTTTCTCCAAGGTCAACACCTTTGTATGTCACGCCCTGTGTTCTTTCTGTGAGGTCAAGACCCGTGTATGTCACGCCCTGTGTTTTTTCTCCAAGGTCAACACCTGTGTATGTCACGCCCGGTGTTCTTTCTGTGAGGTCAAGACCCGTGTATGTCACGCCCTGTGTTTTTCTCTAATAAGGTCAACACCTGTGTATGTCACGTCCTGTGTTCTTTCTGTGAGGTCAAGACCCGTGTATGTCACGCCCTGTGTTTTTCTCTAAGGTCAACACCTGTGTATGTCACGCCCTGTGTTTTTTCTGTGAGGTCAAAGCCCGTGTATGTCACGCCCTGTTTTCTTTCTGTTAGGTCAAGACCCGTGTATGTCACGCCCGGCGTTCTTTCTGTGAGGTCAAGACGCGTGTATGTCACGCCCTGTGTCTTTTCTGTGACCCGTATATATGACGCCTTGTGTTTTTTCTTTGAGGTCAAGACCCGTGTATGTCACGCCCTGTGTTTTTTCTGTGAGGTCAAGACCCGTGTATGTCACGCCCTGTGTTTTTTTCTGTGAGGTCAAGACCCGTGTATGTCACGCCCTGTGTTTTTTCTGTGAGGTCAAGACCTGTGTATGTCACGCCCTGTGTTTTTTCTCCAAGGTCAACACCTGTGTATGTCACGCCCTGTGTTCTTTCTGTGAGGTCAAGACCCGTGTATGTCACGCCCTGTGTTTTTCTCCAAGGTCAACACCTGTGTATGTCACGCTCTGTGTTCTTTCTGTAAGGTCAAGACCCGTGTATGTCACGCCCTGTTTTTTCTCCAAGGTCAACACCTGTGCATGTCACGCCCTGTGTTCTTTCTGTGAGGTCAAGACCTGTGTATGTCACGCCCTGTGTTCTTCTCTAAGGTCAACACCTGTGTATGTCACGCCCTGTGTTCTTTCTGTGAGGTCAAGACCCGTGTATGTCACGCCCTGTGTTTTTCTCTAAGGTCAATACCTGTGTATGTCACGCCCTGTGTTCTTTCTGTGAGACCAAGACCCGTGTATGTCACGCCCTGTGTTTTTCGCTAAAGTCAACACCCGTGTATGTCACGCCCTGTGTTCTTTCTGAGAGGCCACGACCCGTGTATGTCACGCCCTGTGTTTTTTCTGTGAGGTCAACACCTGTGTATGTCACGCCCTGTGTTTTTTTCTGTGAGGTCAAGACCCGTGTATGTCACGCCCTGTTTTTTCTGTGAGGTCAAGACCCGTGTATGTCACGCCCTGTGTTTTTTCTCCAAAGTCAACACCTGTGCATGTCACGCCCTGTGTTCTTTCTGTGATGTCAAGACCAGTGTATGTCACGCCCTGTGATTTTTCTGTGAGGTCAAGACCCGCGTATGTCACGCCCTGTGTTTTTTCTGTGAGGTCAAGACCCGTGTGTGTCACGCCCTGTGCTTTTTTCTGTGAGGTCAAGACCCGTGTATGTCCCGCCCTGTGTTTTTCTCTGAGGTCAAGACCCATGTGTGTCACGCCCTGTGTTTTTGTCTAAGGTCAGCACCTGTGTATGTCACGCCCTGTGTTTTTTCTGTGAGGTCAAGACCCGTGTATGTCACGCCCTGCGTTTTTTCTGTGAGGTCAAGACCTGTGTATGTCACGCCCCTGTGTTTGTCTCTAAGGTCAACAGCTGTGTATGTCACGCCTTTTTTTCTGTGAGGTCAAGACCCGTGTATGTCACGCCCTGTGTTTTGTTCAAAGGTCAACACCCGTGTGTGTCGCGCACCGGGTGTTTCCCGTGAGGTCAGGACCCGTGTATGTCACGCCCTGTGCTTTTTCCTGTGAGGTCAAGACCCGTGTATGTCACCCCCTGTGTTTTTCTTCAAGGTCAACACCCGTGTATGTCACGCCCTGTGTTTTTCTGTGAGGTCAAGACCCGTGTCTGTGTTCTCCAAGGCCAGCACCCGTGTAAGTCAAGCCCTGTGCTTTTTCTCTGTTCAGCAGTCAGCACCCGTGAATCTCACGCCGTGTGTGTTTTCTCTGAGGTCAAGACCCGTGTATGTCACACCCAGTGCACCCGTGTATGTCACGCTCTGTGCTTATCTTCGAGTTCAAGACCCGTGTATGTCACGTCGTGTGTTTTTTTCTGTGAGGTCAAGACTTTTTCTTCGAGTTCAAGACCTGTGTATGTCGTGCCCTGTGCTCTCCTCCAAGGTCAACACACCTGTATGTGACGCCCTGTGTTTTTTCTCCGAGGTCAGTATGCCACGCAAGCTCATGATGACCTCAGACAAAAACATAGGGCGTGACAGACAAAGGGTGGCCATGCCATCATGACCTCAGAGAAACACGCAGAGGGTGACATACACAGGGTGGGCATGTCATGATGATCTTGGAGAGAAGTACACCCTGTGTATACCATGCCCTGTTGTTGTCTCCGAGCTCATCTTGACATGGCCACCCTGTGTATGTCACGCGCTCGAGGTACAATACATGGCGCCTTGTTTTTTTCGAGGTCATCATGACACGGCCGGCCACCCTCCGTATGTCACACCCCCATGGCATGGCCACCCTGTGTATATCACGCCCTGTGCTTTGGGCTTCCTGCTAGCCTATTGCCATTGCAGGTGAATCTGCCACCTCCACATCTTCGGCGACCTCCACTTTTACAACTGTGACTGCGGCGCAGCTGCACTGCGATGTCGTGCGGAAAGTGTATGCACATGTCGAGTGTGACGAATGACGACTGAAACCCAGGTCACCATCACCAGCTTTACGAGCACCCAGTCAGAGACCACAAGAACGGCCACATCGAGCACGGTGACTACTGCGGCATCGTGGTGGCAGCGGCGCTAGTTGCTTTTTGCTTAGCGGCTGAGGCCTCAATTACACATGCCTGCACTTGCCCTGCACCTGATCTGTGGGGGGTTTTGATTGTGTCATGGCAAGCCGGCGTTCTTACCTTTGTACAGTACCAACCTATCACTTACACTGGCCAGAGTTTGTCACTCCCAACCCGCTAAGTGCGATGTTTAAGGAATCAAGGCTCAGCTCCCCAGTTGATAAGAATGGCCTGCCAAGCCTGTGATCGGGGTCAGTTCGACATTTTTCATTTGCTAGCAGTTCAGCTTGCGCTGCCGGGGCCTACACAGATGCTAAGACGATGACCCTGACGACTTCGACAACGGTCAGCACCAGTTCAACAATGTCTACCAGCAGCGTACCTCAGCAAGACCTGTGCCCTGCGCTTCAATGCCTGGCCAATCAATCCTGACCTTAATGTGCAATCACTTGCTGTGACCATTCTTACATGAGCATGAAAGCTACGATGGCTTGAGAGGGAATGTGTTGACTTGATCTCGGCTTCTTGGTGTTTGCAACTCAGTCGACGCTGACGAAGACATCCTCTTCCACTGTCAGCAGCAGCACAACTTCTTCAAGCAGCTCTTCGACGACAGCAAGCTCAACAACCAGCACCTCAGCATCCAGCTCATCCACCACGAGTCTTTCAGAAACAAGCACCTTCACGACAACCTCTTCGACATGGACCTCGTCGACCACGAGCCTCTCCACGTCGAGTACAAGTTCAACCTCTTCTTCGTCGTCGCTGACGTCATCAACGAAGCTTGGCGCCGAAATAGTGACAAAGCTGCACAGTTGCCTTTACAAGAAGTACCCCCCTCATTTCCTTCTAAATAGTACCACAATATCTACCCTATCGTACCCCGACATCCTGATAAACAAATCCTCCGAAGCTCAGGACAGCATCGACCTCCACCACCTCGAGCACCTCAAGCACGCCATCGGGTTGCATATGAAAATCCCATTTCTTACACATATATATATATATATATATATATAAATAGAAGTATACATAGTTTTTTTCTAGGTATATTTTGTATGTTTATGTAATTATATATAGTTGGCATATCGTTGCAACATGTTGCAACGCACTTCTTGAACGGCTTATGCACCCTGACGTATGCAGACCCTGGTCGTCTGAAGGACATCGGTTACCTCGACGTCCAGCAGTAGGACGTCCAGCACCACTCAGACGATAACCACCACGGCTTCGCGGCTGCATGTGGGAGTGTTGCTTTGAGGGGTTCGTACGCAATGAGTGTTGAGGCCTCCAAGCAAGGAGTCCATGAAGAGAGCAACAGTGAGTCTGGCAGTTGTTCTTGCAAGTTGCCCTCGCACACGCGATGTGCCCAAGCGCGCTGCAGCATGAAATCTGAGGTATCAACATCAGTTACGTCGACCAGCTTAACACTGTCCACGACATCCGAAACAGTTACCTCCACCACTTTGACCCAGACCTCCACCACATCGACTGTGTCATCCTCCAGCACGATGACAACTACAACCAGCAGCAGCGGCACCAGCTCCACCTCGGCTACCGCCACCTCAACGTCGACCACGTCCTCCACGATCACGTCCTCCACAACGACCTCCACAAGTCGGACCTCCACCTCCAGGCTCGTCCAAACCTCAAACCTCCCCCCCCCCCCCCCCCTCCCCCTTCGTCACGGGGGTCCACTAACCTGCATAAACAACCGTGCGCAAGGCACAGATCACAAGCGACAATATGATATGTGGCAACTGCTGTGCGTGTGTGGCCTGTGTTTCTGCGAGTCTGTGTCTATGTTTGTGGCGACCGATCAGGACGTCGACATCCTCGACACGCACGACCATGACCCAGACACTGATTCTTTCCAGCATGGCAGTCCGCAGCCAGTCCCGGGATGAAACTTGCATAGCAGTGCAATACGAACGCTACTGCGCCGAAACTGCTTTATATCTATGCAAGTGAGCATTGGCACTGCTTTCTCAAGGAGTGACGGGTAACAATTACCTTCATGCTTGCACACGGCTTGCAGTTGTTTTCAGCTGCGGCAAGGTAGGGCCAGGTAGGGCAATTCATCAAGTGCAGCCCAAAGCCTGACCGAGATGTTGAGATTGAGACCTTTGAAGTTTGCAGCAACGTTTAAAAGAAACACTTGACACTTGTTTGTTCGGCAGCCAATCATGTGTCGACGCTGGCATGCTGTCCAGGACTGGAACCTCCAGCACAGTCACGAGCTGCCTGGCAGCGGGCATAAGGATAGCTTAGGGTTTTAGGGAGCAGCTTTCTTGCTCGTGTGGCCTCCTGAATACACGCCCGAAGCCCAGCTCCACAATGTCGGATCAAGACTCGAATCAAGACTCTGCCCTGCACATGCCCCTTCGCTACAGTACTGAAGTGAACCCTGCAGCATGGTGCGAACAAGCCCGGTCGTTTGAAGTCTGATTAGCAGGGCCTAGCAGTGTGGAGCGTTTCGGGCTTCGGGAAGCCAGGCTCGAGCATCACGGCAACGACTTCCACGGTCTGCAGCCGAGGGTTCTGGGAGTGTTGCTGTTGCGGGTCCCTCAGTCAATAGTTGGACGTCGCAGTTCTCCAGCCTCAGGTTTCTACCAGCTTGAGTTCGTCATCGAGCAGCTCCACAGCCACAGCTTCTACGAGCAGCTCCACGAGTACCAGCACCACTGCGACTGTAACGAGCAAGACCGTGACAACCAGCTCAACAACTGGGACGACCTTGACAGCCACAAGCACTGTTTCAACCACCTCCGCGTCCTCCACGTCCTCTTGCTGCACTGGTTCTGTGATATGCAATAGAAGACGGGCGACACACACGGCAGACCGGTCGCTTGTGCCCGCTTTAGGCTGGTCAGTTGTGCCCGCCTTACGCGGGTCACTTGTGCCCGCGTACGTGCCTCAAATCACAGCAGGGCCGCACTTTGGGCCACCTCCCGCCAAAACGCAGACCTGTCACTTGTGCCCACCTTTCGGTCTTAAAATATGGCAGGGCCACAGGATGAGGTGTTTGTCGGTTGAAAAGTCGCGTCCCTGCCACATCCGGCAGGCTCTCTGCCCCTGCCACCTGTCACCCCATTCAAGTGGACGCAGTTTTCTCAGGTTGCCCGTTTCATTTTCCCGACAGGGGTGGGCTGGCTCCAACATCATGAGCCCCTCGAAACCCGAACCCTGAACCCAGAAGGAACTGACCCGATGCCTTGTGTGGAAAGCTTCCCTCGGGTCAGATGCCTGTAAACACCCAGCCCCCCCCTTCCCCCTTCCCCCTCCACCCCCTCCCAAGCACTCCGGCTGACCGTGCAGGGCGCATCGGGCAACAACAGTCGTTTGTTTACCCCTCCAAACCCGAACCCTGGACCCAGAAACAACTGACCTGAGGCCTTGCGTGGAAGGCTCCCCTTGGGTCAGATGTCTGTAGACGCCCAGCCCGCCCAAGCCCCCCCTCGCCCCCTTCCCCCTCCACCCCCTCCCAAGCACTGCGGCTGACCGTGCAGGGCTCCCCCTGCGGCTGACCGTGCAGGGCGCGTTGGTCAACAACAGTCGTTTTTGCCCCTCGAACCCCCCCCCCATCCCCCCTCCCCTCACCCGTTTCCAGGGCGGGTGACTGGGTGTGGTGTGTGGCGTCAAACAAGCTTATTCTTATCCCCCCCCCCTTTCCCCCCGTTGCAGGGCGGGTGACTGGATGCGGTTGTGTTGAGCGCGTCAAACAAGCTTATTCTTGTCCCCCCCCTCCACCCCCCTCCCCCCTCCCTCACCCGTTAGGACTGGATGTGGTTGACTGGATGTGGTTGTGTTGCCCCCCCTCCCCCCTCCCCTCACCCGTTTCCAGGGCGGGTGACTGGGTGTGGTGTGTGGCGTCAAACAAGCTTATTCTTATCCCCCCCCCCTACCCCCCCCCCCCCCCTCCCCTCCCCCCCCCCACCCCCCCCGTTGCAGGCGGGTGACTGGATGCGGTGTGGGGTATGCGCGTCAAATTACCTTTTTCTGTGCCACCCCCCCCCCCCCCTCCCCCCCCCTCCCTCACCCGTTAGGTCTTGGATGTGGTTGACTGGATGTGTTGTGTTGCCCCCCCCCCATCCCCTCACCCGTTTCCAGGGCGGGTGACTGGGTGTGGTGTGTGGCGTCAAACAAGCTTATTCTTATCCCCCCCCCCTTCCCCCTCCCCCCGTTGCAGGGCGGGTGACTGGATGCGGTTGTGTTGAGCGCGTCAAACAAGCTTATTCTTGTCCCCCCCCTCCACCCCCCTCCCCCCTCCCTCACCCGTTAGGACTGGATGTGGTTGACTGGATGTGGTTGTGTTGCCCCCCCTCCGCCCTCCCCTCACCCGTTTCCAGGGCGGGTGACTGAATTTGGTGTGGCATGAAACAAGGTTATTCTTATCGCAGGGCGGGTGACTGGATGCGGTTGTGTTGAGCGCGTCAAACAAGCTTCCTCACCCGTTGGGACTGGATGTGGTTGACTGGATGTGGTTGTGTTGACCGCCTCAAACAAGCTTATTCTTATCCCCCCCCCCTCCCCACCCCCCCACCCCCCCAGAAACGTGGGCACAAGTGACGGGGTACGTGGGCACAAGTGACGGGGTACGTGGGCACAAGTGACGGGGTACGTGGGCGCAAGTGACCCGAAACCGCGTGGGCACAAGTGACCGCGATCGCGTGGGCACAAGTGACGGGGCTGCCTCACACACACACACACACACACACACACACACACACACACACGCACACACACACACACACACACACGTAGTATCCATGCATTCAGCGAAGTTTTAGCAGTTAACAGCTGCATGAGGACTTCGACATCCCGCACCAAGACCTCCTACACAACGTCCACAACGACCACCTTCACAACCACCACCACCTATTTCACCACGCTGATGTGTGGCCTGGAACAATCATAATCAGGACCTTGCCCAGTCCTTCTCCTCATGAGCCATGGAAATGGACCCAATCCCCGCCGCAAGCAAGTGCAGTCGGCCCATGATGCCCTCTCACTTCACTTCGCTTCACCTCCGCTCCGACCTATCAGGTGGACCCTGGAATCCTTCCGGCGGAGGCGTCCTCCTCGAATGGGATGGTCACTTGCCCAAGATTCCGTGTGTTCCCCTGCAGGGATCCTTTCACCGTAAATGTTCGGCAACTTGTGTAGTTGAACCACTTTCTTGGCCGATGATGCTGCTCTGAGATGCCTTACGCGTCTTGAAGGGGGCGAGACGGTAGCTCCAGACGGAGAGTTTTGGGGCTGAGATGCAGAAAAACCCAGTCATCTCGCCACGCTTTTGGAGTGTGCTTGGGGTGTGGCGCTCTCAGGTGGCGATTTGTCCCAGGACCTCCTGGACGATGGCAACGGTTGGGAGTGGAGGGTGGACATGCGCAAGCAGGGAGAAGGACTGACATGCGCAGACTATGCCTCCGCACTTTTCGTCCTGTGCTCGGCCGCCAGAGGGCAGGGGAAAAAAGGTGGGGAGTAACCCGAGGCCTAGAGCCCGCCCCCCCCTCTGTGACAGCTCAGTGATAGGACGAAGGCCAAGCTGGAGGGAAGCATTTCTTTGCTTGTCCATTAGTTGTCCTTGCTCTGCGGACCTTAGCTCTTCAAGCGCCTGAGTCGCCACTGGCATGGCTGAGGCCAAGCAGCCCAAATTGAAAGGCCCTGCCCGAGACCTTTGCACCAGGAAACGAGTGGTTCTTTGTGAGCCACTGTGCAGACATTGCGACCACCTCTTGCGAGGTGTGGTGCGCCCGGACTTAATCAGTGTTTTTAGTTTTCGCTCGCTCCGGGGAGAAGCTGGCGGGGCGGTGATGATGTATGATTTACTTCCATTCTGGGGTTTCTTGGTCGAGGAAGGGCTGTCACAAGTTGCTGCTTGGTGGTGGCACTACAGGACACGCCCCTTTCATCGTGCAAGCTTGCCAGAGCCACCCCGTCCATCAGAAAGCTTGCCATGCAGCGGGTCCCGAAAAATTGTTTTGGCGTGCTCAGAGCCCTGATTCTTCATATCCACACTGCTGTTTGGGGAGGTAGGAGAATCCGTTGCTGGGCATTGTCTATTGAATCTGTTTGTGACCCCATCGGATCAGGTCCGGAAATTTGTAGCTTCTCGGTTTCACACGCGAACCGAGTTTTTCTGGGAATGCGTTGGAGTCTGGATTTTCTGCAAGGATTTCTTCAAGCGGCTAGCAACTGGGTCCCTGGAGTTTTCTATGCCAAGACAGAAAATAGGGGAATTCATAGCCGTCTCTGCCGTTCTATTGGTCTTCCTACGTACAGAAAACTTCACTGCGAAGACGATGATCGAGTGATCTGGACTGCGCTTCCACAGAGTGTGGAATTCCTGAACTCGCGATCCTTTGCCTCCTGAGGCCTTGAACCTGGAGCGATGTACGACGTCCGTGGCTTGGCCCGGCACGCCTTTTTGTCAAACCGAGGGTTTTTTTATGTTTTTTTCGCAGTCTCGACTATGTGCGTGAGATTTTGCCTGCTTCTGTGTTCTCCCATCGCTCAACCATGGCGTGTTCGAGGAGTCCAGCTGGCCTCCACCATCCCAGAGCTGGTGATCTATGATATCTTCGTGACCGTGGTCATGGTGCCCAACATTCGAGCTGGCATGCCAGAGGACTGAGCGAAAGCTGTTGAGAAGGTACTAAAGTTACTAAACTTTCTGAACCACACACAGGCTCGGACGTGTCCTGCCAAACTTGTACAGGCGACGTACGCAGTGGCTTTCTGAGCCCTCCCCGGCACGATAGCTTGCCATCATGACTAGCCTGACTAGTGAAGACAGGACTTGACAGTTGTGCAGCCCACATCCAGCTCACTGCACATAGCCTGGAATGCATCGAGTGAGCAGGCTGGTGCGGTGTGTGGGCTTGTTTCAGCGGAGGTTTGGCAGAGTTTGATCGCTTCGAAGCACTTGGAAGCGTGCCGAGGTACTGAGAGTGACGTAGTGCTGGGTGCTGGACTTGTTGTCACCTCAACTTCGCGGTTTATCAAGATACCTCCCGGATCCGATAGGTCCCGGCCTAGCTCAGGCATCTCAGCCCTATACAGCCCGTGAGAACCCCGGAGATACCAGTCCCAGCTGTGACCTTTGCCTTGTTTTTCCTGCCCTTGCGATCAGGGTAACTGCACGTTCCGAGCCTGGCAAATCGAGATGCGGGATCCGAACGGTGGATGGACGAAGGACGCAGTGCCTGCTCCTGGGCTTGCTCTTTTTTTCCCTTCATCGTTCGCACTTGATTCGGGTCGTGGCTCTCCATGCCTGGCCACTCCTGACAGGACCCTCCAGCATGTACATCCCTGACGTCTTTCGAGACGGCTTCTTGCCGCTCTCCTGCACGATGATGTGCCTCCGGGCATCGGCCTACCGGTCGTTAAAGGAGGTGTGCTTGAGATATTGCGATCAAGCTGCCTCTCGAAGCCTACCCTGCGTGTGCAGTCCATCTTGCAGCCCATCTTGCAGTCCATCTTGCAGTCCATCTGAGCACCCATGGCAACTGGACCCAAAGATCCGCCCAGGCGTGATCACGAACTTACCGTGCCAATCGCCGCACATCATCCAGGTGCGTTGGTTGATGTTTGGTGTTGTACCGAAGTGGCAAAGGTTGTCCGGTTCTGCCTTGGACTTATAACCCAATTGAAATCTGGTCTTGAAGCGCCTCCCTTGCCTGAAGGTCCGACAGCTCTGTTGGAACGAGGAGTCGACGTCGGAATGGAGCCGCCCCATCTCGGGAAGCACACTGGTGCCAGGGTCGCGACAAAATACTCTAAACATCGATTCGGGCCACTTCACAAGCAGGGGATGAGGGGCCTTTCGGTTTGATCCATCGACTGCAGACCGGTTGCTTGAAGTGCCAATTGAGAAAGAGCATCTCCAGGTGACCATCGGACCCAATTGCCTGCAAGCTGCGACGCTGCCATCGAATCTGGTGAGGTGCTAAGCATCACACCAAGCTGTTAGGACTCGTCCAATTATGAATCGCCCGTCAGGCGCACGCGCACACACACACACACACACACACAGACAGACACACACACACACACACATACGACATGCACACACACACACACACACACACACGTACACACACACACACACACACCCACACGCACACGCACACGCACACGCACACGCACACGCACACGCACACGCACACGCGCACACGCACATACGACATACACATACAATCACACACACACACACACACACATACGACATACATACACACACACACACACCCGCGCACACACACACACACACACACCGACAGACAGACAGCACACGCACACATAGACACATAGACACATAGACACATAGACACATAGACACGTAAACACGTAGACACATAGACACACCCCTGCTGATGCGCAAGCACACACGCACACAGACAGAGACACACACACTCAGTCAATCATTACTCCAGCGCCACGCCACAAGATCCAGTGAAACTCGCGCTGCTTAGGCTCTCACATCCCCAGGTGATGATCAGCCGTTGGCTCAGTCAGGCGTAGAACGGCATAGAGTTTTACTTGCTACTGCGCTGTTGTCAAGACCGGGTCAGCAGCCGGGGCACCTCAAGTCAATTGGATTCGAACACATGGGATGCAGCGCTTTGGGGGAGATGGCAAGGGGTCCAAGGCCATGCAAACGTGTCGGAGCCACGAAGCCTCAGGTTGAACCTGACATGGACCGCCGGATTACAAGAGGCGGGCTCATGGTAGGCGTAGCAAAATAGCAGAATGAGAATGTCCGGTTGCTTGCCACTGTGACGAAAAGACAACCGGATCCTAGCTGCCTGCCCATGCTACAGATGACAGTATGATGAGTTAGAAATCGCGCCCTATGGGTTCGGCTCCCTGAACACGTCCATCTGACGGACGACCACCTTGCACGCGAGGACTCTCAGTTCATCTCCTGGAACGTGGAGCTCTACAAAACGAAGTTTGTGGAGCAGCTCAGAAAGGGAACGTCAGACCGAGCTGCTCCATCGACAGGAGATCACTTTGCGAGTCCTTTGTTTGGTCTTCAGGTGGGGGGACAACCCGACCCGGAGGCTGAGGAGCAGATTGATGCATGCCAAGGACCTGCACGGGCCTCCTTCGATTCAAGACGATAGCCCGGAACAACATTACACTGCGCCCGGTCGGCAGATCATGACGTAGAATTCAAAAGCAGGGTCGGTGCCGCGAGCCTGATTCTTGGAGGACTCCTTGACCGCACGACTACCACCTGCAGCGTCTCAGGCGAGCCCGAATGAGGGCAGGTCAGGCGACCGTACAGATGCAGGAAGAAGGTTGCGAGTTTGTCGTTTTGTGTTTTTGCGAAGCAATCTAGTACCTTGACGTACCATGCGATTGGCCAGAAAGGCCGATCGATTTGTACCGACTGCGGCACGTGGCGCCCGCAAACTCTTCCGATCCGCAGTAAGACACCTGGAAGCTGCTGCATGACCCTCTGGTGCTTTGTGACACTGGTAAGTCTGAGATTCTTCCAAAAATCTCCTCTTCATTTTTGTTCGTCTTTTTCGCTCCAAAATGACCGCAGTATATAGGAGCGTATCAGAGATGACTGGAACCTTGCACATAGAGACCGCGAAGCACGCTGCAAAGCACGACAAGCCCCTCTCCATCAACCCTCTCCTGTAGGTCTCACTTGGGGAATGTACCGCTTCGCGGTGCAGGAGGTCAGCTCCCTGTCCGGGCCTTACCTCGCCTCATCCTCCTGCCTGGTCTCCGGGGCCTGGTGACTGGATGCACTGCGACGAAGTATCCCTCATCTACACCCCTCTTGATATCGGCAGAGGATGGCTCCCAGAAGAGCTCCGAAGGGTTGTTGGATGCGTTGGATGCTCGAAGTGAAGCCTCTTTGTGGGTGAGGGCTCCTCCGTGCTTGCGCAATGACCTCTGGTTCAATCCGGCGCCAGAAGGTTGACAGGTTGACAACCAAGCCCATGAGCATCTCCTCAAACTTCCGAAGCACAGCAGCAGGCAGCCCTTTTCAAACATGTCGAACATCTCGGCTTACCTGTCTTTTGTTTCAGAGAGGCCCGCCACCAGCTCGCCCCTTAGCGCAGCCAGCGAGGCGGCCTGGGTGGCGAGGACCTTTTTTGTGGAACATTGCAAGGGGGGGAAGCGAGGAGATTTATTCGCAAGCTTTAATGCGAGAATTGCAGACGTGAGGCCTATGCGTGGTTTCGAATCCGAGCACCCGCACGAGTACTCAGAATGACACAGAGCCAGGTATGTCGAAGTGCCTTTTGTAGCGCAGCATCCTTTCAGAGGATCTTAATACGAACCGGCAAAAACTCAGCGAAAAGAGATGCCAAGCAGAAAGCCCCCTCATTTCAAGCCAACATCGGAGGATCCCAGCAGTTGCTCCGACCGGGCTCATTCTAACAGAGGCGACGGAGACGAGCTTGCGGGCCGCTTTGATTGCATAAAGGGAGCCAGAGTGCTCTAATGAGGTTTACTCCATCGACTCGAGGTGGGCTTGATGCTAGTAGGAGCCACCCGAGGAGCAGGCAAGGCAGGAGATCCGGCGCCTGTCGCCACTTTCCGGATGTGAAATCTTGCGGCGGCATTTGATTTCAAGTCTGCTTCTGACGGCAGTATGCATGTGTCCTGAGGTCTCCTGGACCAGGAGCCTGCTGAAGGACGTCGACGCAAGAGCAAAGCAGCAAAGACTCATAAACAAGTTTGATTTCGGCCAGCATCTTCAAAACTGTAGAGATTTGTAGAGACAACTCTCAAAGCTTCTGAGCACTGAGCACAGTTAGATTGGGGGGCTCGCAGGATTGTCCCTTCCAGCGGCTACTTGTGGAGCTTTCGAACGGCACCGACCCTTGCCTGCGGTCTGATCTCCCAACTCCCTCCACCCTGCGCTGGGCCCTCGGCCTCGGAAGCTTTCGTTGCGATTAGCGCAACAGCACTTAGCGTTAAGAGAGTGGCTCTTTGCCTCCTCGTCGCTGCATCAGGGTGCAACTAAATGACAGCTGGTGAGTAATGCCTAATGCCATCGCGTTCAGATCACCGGGTACATTGGCTTTGGCCGGAACATAGAAAGCCATCGTTCAGTGGCATACAGAACGGCCTGGGCTGTTGTTGCGATTGTGAAGAATCCTGATTTTCCAAGGATTTTATCGAACCGGCGAGCTGCAACTCCATCACAGACTCGGCCACTACCAGTTGCGTGGCAACAGGCAACATGCTAACGGTATGATGGCTTCGCCCCGCACGTGCCAGATGTGAGAGTCGAAACACCAAGTGAGGAAGGCGCAGTCCAAACAAGACCATAGAGTCATAGAGATTCTGTTAACGGAGAGCATGGTATTCTGGGGGGAAGTTGGAGCGGCGCAGGCTTGCAATCCTGGACCACCTATACTGCCCGGGCGTCCGTGCTTTGTGACGAGTGCAGCGGGACGCCTACAGATCAGCGCGTGCCATGCAGCGAGGAGGAGAGTGCTTAGCCCGATTCTCTGGATTCCCTGGCGCGAGAGCCGGCCCCGAAAACGACCCCCAAGCCCAAACACAGTGCCTGCACTGCAAACACCCTCGATAGGCAGCAACTGGAAGCCCGAAGATCTCCATATCCTGCGAAAAGATGTGAATCACAAGCGGCCTCTCAACTCATCTCAACTCCAAGCCAGGACACTCCGGCCACACGCTGCTTGGTGCCCGCAACCGGCGGTTTGAGCCCCTGCTTCCGGAAGCTGCCAGCGTTCAGGCCCCCGAGTTCAGGGAAGTTCAGGGGCTCCACGGTAAGAGTGTAAACACACACACGAGTCACACAGTGCGGGCCATGCCTGCAGCACCTGTTCAGCGTCATTGCAACTTTCAGACGAGGTGTAGGCCTCTTACAATTCTCTACGTGGCGGAAGATGCAAAAGAGGATGCGAAATCGTGTCGCCTTAAGTCGACACTCGACACCCTTGGTCACAATGTAAGATGCGGACGAAACAAAAACATTGAGGATGTTCGACGTTGTCTTCCATGGACGACGATTGTACGTTCTCATGTCCACGAAGGAAGTGGACGAAGCCAGCATCGTTGTTTGGTCGCGGCTTATGCCGATTCCAGGCTGAAGCTATGCATCGGCACGCTTTCACCGCACCTTTGTTCCGCACAGCCAACCACAGCTGTGTGTTCTGGTCAACCTTCGTATCAATGGCACGCGGGCTGCGAGATTATCGGCAATCCGACAGTTTCAGCGTGCATGATGTTGCATGGTCAAAACAAACTCATGCTAACAGAAGGTGGTCTTGTGAAACCCCTGCATGTTCTTGAGAGTGTTGACGCTGTACCTGCCTGGCTAATCGCAAACGCTGACAGGGGCACTTATGTTTTTTTTATGCGGGCCTCGGCCATGCAATGGGAACCCGACATGGGACCGCAATCTCGAGAGCTGTAGGAGCTCCTTGATGAAGAACGGCTTGTGCGACTTAGTGCCTTTTGTGCACCCGCATCCGCCACCGCAGCCATGATGAAGCAGTCTCCACAATCCACCTGCGTGGCTTTTCCACTGCAGAGTGGGCCAAATTTTGAAGACTTGCCGGTGGTGCATTTTGCATCAAGGTCCAGTGTGACTTCACATCTGCCAGGACAAAATGAGTGTCGCAAACCAGTTCTTTCACAGCGTTGGCAGAGCCAACGAGCTGCCGACTTTCGAGGGGGGGGGGGTGGAAGATGCATCGCGTGTAGCTCACCTACCTCTTCGTCGCTTTCACTTTGTTACTTGTACCTTGCCGGCTCAATTCACTACGAGAAGTTACTTCGCTTCTTCTGCACCACCTGGAATGTAAGCTGACTGTGGAACTTGTAGGAGCTGACAGTTCTGTTCGCGCAGGGCTTCGAGCAGCTACTCCTCTCCAAGCCTGCCTGCATCCACGCTGCCGAGGCCAAGCGTATGACGGCACCTACGGAAAACCCTTAAAGACAAACCGGCACAACGGCACAACAATGTGTTGCCAGCCCAAGAATGCTCAAGACGTAAGACAGATTGCCAGGCTGGAAGCCACTCCTGTGCTCGGGGCCGTTCCTTGCCTTCGACTGACGGGATGTGCTCGGAATCAGCGCCGAACGAATTGATTGCCGATCTTGTAGGTGGGGAATGGCAAATTGTAGCGCGAAGCCGAATGTCTGAAATTGGATCTACCAGACTCTACCAGGTCCAAGTTCCTGCGGATTCTGGTCAGCGCGTGAGGTTCGAGTGGGTTGCAGGCCGGCACCGAAAGTAGGAAGGCTCCATAAGGTCAATAAGGCCCCTGCATCTTCGAAGAGTACAGTTCCAGAAGGCGCTTCGTGTCACTTGCTCTGCCCCACATGCTCATGTCCAGTCCAAAGTAAAGTCCTGCACATGCGCGTTGCATTCAGTGAATCCGAAGCAGCGCAGGTGTTGGCTCTCGGGGCAACGTCAACGTCACCTCAGACTGCATCTTCCAATCCTGGCGGCTTGAGATCTTGGTCGAGAGCGAGAGCGACCCTTGTCCAAAGCAAGGAGTACGGCGTACGGAAAGCCGAGTTGAGCCCTTTGTATCGTAGGAGGCAGGAATCTGTAGGCTCCTGAAAAATTGCCCGATTCCTATGTCACCTAGACAAGCTCAGATTGAAGAACATACCCGGATGCAGCTGGTAACAAGTGACTAAGTGAGCAGCGACAGCTCTGCATAGCCCTGGAATTGCACAGGTTTGGGGCCTGCCCGAGGGCTGCCTGAGCCTCATTGACCCAGGCGCAACCACTTGCACGGTGCAGACCCCAGGAGAGTTTGAGTCATCCTGAGAGAGATGTTTTGATCTTTGGGGGGTTGCTCGGTTGCTTTCGGCCCTTGCTGTGTTTGTGCGTGTTGTGTGTTGGGTTTTACAAATACCTATCTAAGAGCCTTAGGTTGAGCGTGCTGACTGCTGGCTACCATGAAGCCGTGGTGGAAGTGACCTGAAGTGACCCTGTAAGGCCATCAACCTCCAGTGCGACACCACATACCACGCCCGATTGCGAGTGCCGCTCGCTTTGATTGTCGGAAAGCTTGAAGCTTTGATGGGGGGTAGCTGATAGTGGGATAGTGGCTGCGCACTTGCACCCAAGCTGCGCTCGAAAGCCATGTTTTGGCAGTCTGGATTTCTAGGGCCAAAATCTTTGAGGCTGGAACGCTGCTGAGCCCACGTTTAGGGTTCACATATAGCTGGACTCCGCGGTCCCAATCCCCTGAGGCTTTGCACAATGCCGGCGGCGAGCAGCGACTGGATGACCTTCCCAGCCTTCCGCACAGCCTACGCCGGACCCGGAGCTGCAAAAAGAATGCAATTGTTAATTTTTAGCTTCACCACACTGAAGGGCACAGGCAGGCACCAAAGGCCCCACGGGGCCAATCCGCTTTTCCTCCGAAGCATGAAAATCCAGCTGCTAAAGTAGTCTGAGAACCCACAGGAAACTGCCTGAAGACCGCCTCGCCACCTCTGCTGATCCGCAGCTTGGCTCATGCCCTGAAGAGTCTGAAGAGGTGGTGGGCAGTGATGGGGTTCTGTTGGGTTTCGCGGCAGGACAATGGCACCAGTCGAATGTTCGCAGTTGGGTTTCCAGAGCCGACACTTGTCAGGTCCACAGGATACGTGGCTCTTGTCAGGACAGTCGAGCAATGCTTCCTGTTGGGGCGTACTTGCTCCGTCCCTGAACCCCTTGCCTTCAGCGTGGCCTGCATGATGCGAGTGTGCAGTTGTTCAGGCAACACAAGCCGAACTGCAACAAGCATCACGGTGGCCTTCATCGCTGGGTTCGTGCCTTATGAAGCTCACTGCTCGGGCTCTCGGGTACCTCGGGTACCTGACTCCCTTGAAAAAGCTGAGCCTACAGCAACTGGTAGCTCTCAGGTCGCCTGGAGACTGCATCTTCGACCGCTTTGAGCTTCAGTATCAGGATGCCGCTCTGAGCCTTCGTGATCCCATACTGTAAGGCACTGTAAGGCCTCATTTCTTCCGACTTTCATGTTCATCTCACGCTATGCCTCTTTTGGAGGAGATGAATTCCACTTCTTGGATATCTGTGTGCAGCACTCAGAGAGACAGGTTACCACAGTCCACCGTGCCTCGCCCCCAAAGTATCCGAGGCCCCAACTCCTTCTGAAGCCTCGGGTCTCTGTCCAGGCCCGCTGACTGCGGCTCTTTGGATGTGCGCCTCGGGCCCAGCTGCATCATCACGGGCCTGGCGCAGGCACGGCTGAGTCCAAAAATCTCATTATCGTGTTGATTGCTCCACACGTTCTGGCACTGCATGGGAACTCAAGCCATCCAGTTTAAAGCTCCTGAGATTTGCCGATGAGCTTGACAATGTTCAGACTTTTGGGTTCCTCACGGTACCTAGATCGCCTCATGCAATGGCGCACGCGCTCGACAACAGCAATGAGCGAACTTCCCTGGCAATGCCATGGCCCAAACCCTCACACAGGACACTGGCTACAACTTCCGCGCCCGGGAGATCTGCAGCAACGGTGCCCCATTGGCCTCGACTTGGGGTCTCACAGAGGAGTGCGGCCTCAAAAGCCGAGGGTGGTAGAGTTCAGAAATTCATTCAATGTCGTTGGGTTTCGTGCTGGGCGTCCAGTTGGCATGGGCACGTATAGCTGCTTCTTTTTTGTTGCGGGATGCGCCTAAGTGTTCTCCCAGCCTCTTCAACGCAACCACGAGGGTGAGGAGCCGATGTACACCGGCCTCGTGCCCGCAGCAGCTGCCTCAGCTCAGGGTTCATCCCTTCATATCCACCAAAATATCCCAAAAGGAGGGCAGAGATCCCAGATTCTGCCAGGTGCAGTCCCCTTCCTATCTGGAGCCGGAGGGATTCCTTTCGCCTTCGGAGCCACCAAGCAGGCCTGCATTGGGGCACCCTCGTGGCTGATGCGCTCCCGCTGTGGCGCTCTGTCCCGTTTGCTTCTTGCGAGGCTGCTCCTCATCTTCGAGGAGGATCTGCAGCTCGGGGACCCCAGCGCCATGCTTCTTGGTGCACCTAGTCCCGTGCTAAAGGAAAGAGGCAGTCAGAGTAGCAGTGTCTGGCAGCTTCAAAGCTTGGGCTCCAGCCAATTATAAGCCGCGGCTCGTGCCCCTCGTGCTCCCTCCAGCTCATACCCTCACTGCTAAGCTGCTAAGGTTGAGTTTGTGTCCGATGCTGTTGCCAAGCGCGACTTCTGATGACCCAGGCATTTGCAACTGCGTACCTGGGCTGCAAAGTGAGCAGTCGGGTGAGCGTCCTCGTGGGCACGGGGTGCCTCGAATCCGCCACGAAGGGCAGTCACACAACCCGTGTAAGCCCCAAGCCGTCCATCTCCTGCAGAATCTGCCATGGCTAAGGGCACATCGGAGGATTGTGCCGGTCAGTGTCTCACGCAAGCGACCATGGACGCCTGGGCCTTATTGCAGCGAGTGCCCTGCACTGTATGCACACTGTTACATGCCCAATTCCTACCACCTTGACTGTGAGAGCCCGAATTGAAGGCCTGGGACCAGCATTCGAACAGTAGTCCCAAATCAGTTCCCTTATGATGTCGAGGTGGAGCTTCTGAGCTCGCGCGTGCTGCTCGCACGGTTTGGGTCCCTTCTACGGCCTCTTACTGGATGCCCCTACCTGGTGCTACTGGAGGCCTCTACATCTGAATGCCTGCTGTGTCAGAGGTGACGGTGTTACATGGATGTGTGTTCACGAGTTTTCTGAACGTACTGCGTCGCATCATTTCAGGGTCGTCAGGTGCCTGCTAGACTCTAGGTTAGAAAGGATGGTGACTGAGGGGTGGGCTATTCTGAATTCCTGTGGCGTGTATGACATGTTGAGCACCAGTCGGTGGATCAGTCGATGTCCTGTCGATGTCCCACGAAGGCAGGCTTTCTCCAGACGCAGCTCGCCCCCAGCAATCCCTCACCCAGGCGAGCCGGGTCAGGGTTTCAGAGCCTTCAAGAGCGTCTGCCGTTTGACCTGCAGGGTTTAATCATGTGAAATTGCAAGTATCTCAGCGGGCGCCGGCCACGACCTCACTGTTAAATAATTACTGTGCCCTCTGTTGAATGCTTCTGTGTGCCTCTGGAGGATTGAGTGGAGCTTCATCTACTGGCCGCCAGCGCCCACCGGCTCTCTGATTCTTTGCTTGAATTTAGGTTTCATCCCTCTCTCATATGGAGGCTCATCGGGAGCCTTCCTCGTAGCGTTTGGCGCCTGGTGGCAAACTGGGAAGCAGCGCTTTCACTGTCCAGGACTTTGTTCAGCAGCACGACGACTTCTTTGACGGCCACTTGGCAATTCGTGAGGAAAATGAATTGAAGCAAAGAATTGAAGCTGAAGCCCCAAGGCCCTGGGCCCCACAGCTTCAAGGGTTGCTAAACCAGCTGAGGTCCGAGTATCTTGGAGCATTCCGATGACGACAACCTGTGGGGTCTTGGTTGGTTTTAGCTCCCCGGCTGCCCGAACAGACGAATATTCTCCCACGAGCAATGCACCTTCCGTCCAAAGCATTTTGTTACCCTCGGCTTGTGAATTCGGTGCCTCCTTGCAAAAGGGGAAGCCAGCAAAAAAAACTCAACATCACAAGACTTCTGTGTTTTTGATTGTGGGGTGGGCCAACGAAAGTCCTTCTCACGGTGACTGTCACAACAGCAACTACGGCGCTCGCCCGTAACTAACACCCGTACTACTGGGTTTTCCAAGGATTCCAAGGTGCTCAGGCCGCCATAGCCGCAACATGCCACAACTCTAGGCCAGCACTGGCCTACTGGCCTCTTAAGATCTTACGTAAGACATTTGACTGATGCATGTCGCTGATCTGTGTATTCAAAGGCACTATGCACCAGACCGACCCCTTGGACTTCACCGGGAGCCGCGAGTTCTTGGAGGTGTCTCAGATGCCCTCCCCGCATTCTGACGTCCCCTTGCAAAAAGGGATGGCATGCGCAGGCGCATGTGTGTTTGCTAAAAGAGAGAGGGGTTGTGAATCTTCGTTTTTGGTGGGTGTTAGTGGCATGTCTTGGGGGAAGCAGTGTCAGCATGTAAGCATCGAAGAACCTTGGTCCATATGCATCACGTGATGTTGCTCGTGGTTGCATTGATTTGGGAGCCTGAGAGTTTCATGCAGTACGAAGAAGAAGCGCAAGAGGGGGCAGATTTGGGGCGCACACCGCGCCGAAGAAAGGATATCTGTCCTAAACCTCAGGCCCCGCAAAAGAATGAAACCAGCAACAAGAGAAAGAGAGAAGGAAAGGGAACAGCACGCACATGGAGATCAACACCGACAAGCCCTGCCACCTTGTTAAGCCGCCCCGCGCCGAAACCGAAGGCAGGAGGAGATGGAGGTCAACAAAGGGAACCCGCGGGACGTGGGAGAGATTTTCTTTCCCGGTAGGAGAAAGCTAGATGCCCCTCCGGCGCATACTTTTCCGCGAGACTTGTGTCTTTAGGTTAGCGGGTGATCAGCATTGCCAAATCTGTTTAGCCCTGATTCAGCAAACTCATGCAAACTCTGACAGGCCGACTTTAAACAGGAGCAGGGGCAATCCAAGGAAGTCAGACACTGCACGTTTCCCCGGCCCTGTGCAGGGAAGGCCTTTCGCACAGTTCGCATGCAATTTCCCGTGCTTCACAGGAGACTCCGTGTTCTACTGCCTGCACTGTTTTTGTGTGGGGAGGGGAGGGGGCTGGCCGGGCTGGCAGGGTTTACGCCCTCAAGTTCTGCTACGCCTGAATGCATCCCATGATGTAGCCAAGGTGCGCATCAATGGCCTGTACCCGTTCACGCAGTACACAGTGGTATGCACAGGCACTGCCGCGACGCAACGGTGTCGTGGTTGTGATCGAGAGTGCCAATCCAGCTAGCCTCTCGTTTGTCCAGGCTCTGCGATTGGTGACCCCGTGGTGACGGCCAGCGTGACTGTTCTTGCAAGCAGCCAGCAGCAGACCATTTTCTCAATGACTGGATCACGTGCCGCGAAACTCTCCAACACTTGTGGTTAGCTAGCAATCCTTGTATGCACTTAGGCCTAGCGCCAGTTTGCTACCATGCTGGCAATGCAAGGTGTCTGAGAGCGCCTTCTCGACGGAGCCAGATACCAACAACCGGCTCTCTAACATCATCGTCGATGTCCAGGACACCAGCCCTTCTGTGACGGACAAGCATGGTCCCGTAACATGCCGGCCAGAGTTCGAGAGTTCAAATCCTGCCCATGCGTGGCAGGCTTTATGCACTACCCGCACCACGTCCGTGGACAACTCCACGAATGTGTCGGCGAACGTGTCTCAGGTGCAGGTTTCCATGGAGGCCGCCTTTCTTCCAGTGCCACTGAGGCCAGCATTAATTGACTCTTTGGGGCGTCTTCGGGGCCTTTCGTGAAAACATCCTAGTGAAACATGGCGAAAGGTTAACCGAAACGGAACTTGAAAGTCTCTGACCGACTTCTTTGAGGTTTGATCCTTCGCTACGCCGTTACCAGCTCATCTTGGACGCAGCTGCTTGGCCAATGCCACTCCTTGGTGAACAGGTCGTGACGGAACTGGATGGTCGGATCGAAAACTTCATTAATTACGACTTCCCAAGCTGCCCCAAGCAACTCTCAGCTTCTGTTGCAATATGTTGCCGAACATGTTCCCCCATTCAAGGAGTACGTCCGGGACCTCTGTGGTGCAAGCGAGATCGAAGCCCTTTTCAGGAGTGCGTTCATGTACGTGGCTGATTTAAACTTACTTCAAAGTAAGTACCTGTCTGGGTCATCCTAGTGTTGCAGGATTGAGGTGAGTGCCATGACGCAAAGTGCCTTTGCAAGCGCATCAATCGACCATCCGGCTTCTCGGCCGCAAACTCCTGAAACACTGAACGCCACTCGAACTTCATTGAATCCTTCAGAGGATTTCGGACCGGACTTCAGGCTTTCTAGACTGTCAGCTTTCGCTTCAATATGCTTCAGCACTTCCCTTAGAACAAAGGCGCAGAGGTCTGGTGACAGATGTGGGCGTCGCAATTCAAGAATCTTCAGGTTCCATCACAACAAAAATGCCCCCGAAATACCAAACTCCCCAAACAGAACACAATCAACTCAGGAGGAATGGAGTGGGGGCTGGGGTGTAGGATGGCTTCCTGGATATTCGGGAAAGTTAACACCACTCCCTTTTGGAAGATGGCAAAGAGGGTTCGTGGTTTGGAAACGGAAAACCTGGAGAATGAAGGCACAGTTTTGGCCCTGACAGGTTCAGATCCTGGCGCAGCCCCTCCCAGACTCGATGGGCTTCCTCCCACCAGAAGTACCCCGCAGCCACGTGAGCCAGGCCACCTGCCCTTTGGGAACAATTCCAGCTTAGTGGGTTCTGTTTGACCTTGCCTTATCATCAAGCGCGTTTTCGCCCGTGCTGTCGATGCAACTGCTTCTGAATGCACAGCTCGACCAAGTTGCTCTGCATCCGGCCTGCAGCTGGGTCGAAGTTTTTGTAGAGTTCAAGGGGAGCCTTCGGGAAACATGTTTTCCGAAACCAGACATCGGTGTCCAAAACTATTCCTCCACACCACTGGGCCGCCGAAACCGGATTGCTTCTAGCTGTTGCCTGTCAGGTGCGGCTCACCGTTCATCCGCCACAGCCAGGAGCCATGCCTTAACAATGTCTTAACAGTGCGACATAGCAAACCGCCGAAATCCGACGCTGTCTTGCTACTGTAGGACCTGCAGCGCGTTGTGAGATAGGCCGGGATTCGAAAGGCCCTGTCTCTGAGCCAGCCAAGGCCAATCTCCACCACAGGACTACATCCTGGACATCGTGGTAGGCGGGGCCGCTTGGAGGGAAACCTTCAAATCCAAGACTCGAGTCCATGTGAATTGAGCTTCTTGGTGCAAGAGAAATCCTAGAACAGACTAGCATCGGCAACGTGGCGCAGCTTTCTCCTTGAGCCACATGCTCAACGGAATGGAAACACGCGTTGAACTTTGGGTCACAGTACAGCTGAAGAGAACTGGAGCTCCATCATGAAACCGCATCATGCTGCTTAACAGGTGTTCTGGACGTTCGCCTCGAGTCCACCAACATTCCCACGATGCTTGCCGCAGATGCATCTTCTTCGGCCGACTTTGTCATTTCCACACCTCGCGGCATGGAGGCCGGGATTCTAGGACCAGGAGTTGGGAACCCATAGATTTACATGGGCTAGATAAATTGTTAACACTCGTGGTCACGCATGATTTTCGGAAATAGTCCCGGAATGGCAAGCATTTTTGTGATGGGTGAATGCATGCGCATGAAGCTTCCGATGCTCACAGAGACCCCAAACTTATCAAAAATACTTTTGAACAAAAAATAGGGAAAAGGTCAGGAAGTCGAAGGCCAAAGCGTACCTCGCAGGCTGCCATACTCGGGCTCCGCATTGGTCCCTTTACCCAGCTCCTGACCGCGATAAACTCGGAGAACTACACGGAGAACCTCCTCGAAAGGCCGCAGTCCCTTAAGATTCCGGTGCTGAGATGTGGGCACCTCTCCGAATGTTAAGTACTAGCTGGCTTCAGAAGCTTGGCACCTCACCATGCAGACCCCAAACACTCTTGTAAACCCTCCTCACTGCTCCAAATTTGGCGTGGCAGGACACGCCACAACCTGACGGCCGCCAACATTGTTGGGCTGGGTAGCGGGCTGCTTCCTTTGCAAGCTTGACCGGGGATCAACAGGGAGGTTCTGGGCATCGTGCCAGGACGCTAGCGAAGTCTTGAGCCTGAAGACCGGTCGCTACTGACAATTACTAACATGCATGTTGAGGAACAGAGGACAGATGGGGGGGACCATTCCCAAAAAGGGCTAATTCTCTCGGAGCTTACCACGGAACAAAAAACTAGCTTGCGACTTGTGTTAAGGCTGACCATCACGGTCCAAGTGCGACCTCCACCTGGCAGCAATTTCCCGACGTTGGATGTCCGCACGGTCTTCGTTGCGGCATGGTCCGAAGTCAGGGAAATCCTCCAACGCATACGCCATATCAGTCATAAGTGAAGAAAGCATCTGTCAGTGGCGAGTTTCTACAAGTGTGCTATCACGAAGCCAAGTGGAACTGAAAATACTTCGCTGTGAAAAAATGGGCAGCTTTGTTAGAAGTGAAAGTGCTGAATCACGTTAACCGGAAGTGACAGCGGCAGTGCCTCAAAGGTGAGCTTTGAACCGCCAACAGTGGTCTCGATCGACGCCTGGCCTGCGCGCAGCTGACATGGATGCAGTGTCGTGCTGTTGGTGCTGGTTCTGGTAATGACGTTGATGGTGGGTTGGTGGTGGTCATGGTGGCAGTATCACCTGTTGGAATGCAAAGAGCACACATGTGGGAGACTGAATAAGTAGTCGGCAGCCATCTCCAAGGAGACGGACATGGTCAACAACACCATCTCCATCGTGCAAACCACCGTGATCACCGTGTCAGGGTGGCTTGGCTCGGACACTCAGAGCTTGGGTAATTATGTTTGGTCCGGGGATTGTAGGGCCGGACCTTCTGGCTGGAGTGAAAATGGGAATGCCTTCACTGCCCATGTACGCTCCTGTGTTTGCCGAAGCTTAACTTTACAATCCGATCTTCGACCCGCTAGTAGCTCCGAGATTTTGGCAGGACAAACTTGTTGGTGCCGGCTCAGTTCACAACTGAGCCTGTGAGTGCGGAAATCTTCATTGCCGGCATCCCGGCAAACTGCACAACGTCGGCCGCTACGGCCGCAATAGTTCCACAAGCACACCCAGGCTGTTGCAGAGCACGGCTGAGTCAAGAGCGACCAAGTAGAGCACCATGTGTCCCCCACGCTACGTCTTTTGAAGAGGCCGAACCTTGAGTTCCCACACCCCCACACCTCCTGACGACAGTCAGAGGAATGCCAAGAGCCCGCGCTTCAAGCCCTTCTGGATGCTGGTCAAGAAAGCCTGTGCTCCGACTTGGCAGCTCAGCTTCAATGCTTCAACTCCCAAGACGCTTCGACCCTAGTCGCTGCAATACCAGGGCCATGGGATACAACAACACCAGTCCTCATGAGTTGTGGAGGATTTGTCCACAAAGGCTCCACTCACTCCGAGACTCTGCCACCCCGTAGCCTCAAGGGATGAACCCCCCAGAATCTCAAGGCAAGTTACCCTGGCACATACAAGACACAGGTGGCCATCTCAGCCGGCACCCTGAGCTGCAGCATCGAACCCACAGGCGGAAGTTTTGCAAGGCTTAAGAAGAGGGTAGACTCTAAGACTGGCGCTAGGGGCTAAAGTTGTATGATGGGACTAAGCTGCTGAAGTAGTATGACTCCAGGAAAGGCGAGTCGATCCAAATTCCAAGGTTCAACGCTCGGTTTTAGGAGTTGCCGTGGGGTGATGAAGTGGTTTGGAAGGTCGAACGTCTTTCGGTGCTCTGGTGTCTATCGTTGCACGCATGTACTTCTTATGCCATTGCTTCAGCCCATGGTTTCATCCTTGACCTGCTTGACTACGCTGCACTCCTTGAAGTTGAAGTACCACCCCTTTAACGCTGTAAGTTCACATGGTGCCTTGCCTGAGTCGACGCTCTGCTTGGACTCTGCCTCGTGCTCCGTGGCGGCCCCTTGGTTTGCAGCATGAAAGCGCTTGACGGCTCTGTCAACATCCCAGTTCCATCGAGGATAAACCTGAGGATAAACCAATGAACGCCCATCGGCAGTACTGGTTGCTAATACTAAAGGTAGAAGAAGCCTCTAAGTGTGTTGAACATGAAAGCAAAGTCAGGCTCGAAATTGCTGTGATGTATACATGCCTCCTACCTCAGCACAAGGCAGCCTTGTGACTGTCGCATGTCTTACAAAGCCACGTAAACTGTGACGAAACACCACCAAGCACATGGAAAGTCTCGACACTTCTCGACCATCTGACAGCCATAGCCGTCTCGGCAAGCCGAGGCTTCTTGGCGAGCAGATACTGCGCTGCTTTCGGGCCACCCGGGTCCTTGCGTCCCGAGCAGCCGACCGTTGGAGGTGAGCCGGGCCTAGCTGCGGCATAGCCGGGGCTTGCAAGGAGTGTAATTAAGAGAATGGAACAGAGAATGAAAAACAATCTCTCTTGATTCCTGCATGTGAAACGGCGCCGCCCAACAGGCCTGACGCAGCCAGTCCAGGACATGTCGTCCTCTGAGCCCTTCCTGGTGCTAGTTGGCTGCGACCCTAGATACGTTTTGTGAGAGTGGGCTTCCAGAGTCATGCGCGCGGAAGCAGCCATGGTAAGTGTCATGCTCCTGTATCCGGTGAATGTCCCGTGAAGACCCCAACCTGCAAGCCATCTCAGATGGAGACCTTCCGTGGGCGAACGTTTCGCAGGGATACCTTCAGGCTCGCGCGCACGGAGTTAAATTCGGGAAGAGAGAGAGAGAGAGAGAGGGCCGGGGGGGCCCTTGGGTCTCCTCATGCCCAGCAGAAGAAAAAGAACAGACAGACAGACAGAGAGAGAGAGAGAGCGAGAGAGAGAGGGAGAGAAAGAGAGAGAAAACAAAAACAACAGAAAGTGTTCTACCTGCAGTGGCAGTGAGTGTTTTGTGGGGCAGCAAGCCGGAGCGGCTTGCGGCTTCACGCCGACCGTGTGCACGTGTCCAGATGCTGGCTGTCAGGTGGTGGGAGGTGAAGGAACGCGCTGAAAGACCCTCAAGCAGTTGGCATGTGCGCAAAAGTCTATTGGCTTCATGCCATCGGTTGTGGGGACTTCCAGCTAGTTCGCGCAAAGCAGTTGAGGGCGACTCTCTAGCTTTTTTTTCTCCCTCGCTCTCTCTCTCTCTCTCTCCCTCTCTCTCTCTCTCTATCTCTCTCCCTCCCTCCCTCCCTCCCTCCCTCCCTCCCCGTGTGGCTGGAGCCTCCGTTTGAGCTGGACATCAGCTAAACAGGCCCTGAACCAGGTTGGGGGCCTGGCCGAAGGGCCTTGCTAGCTGATGCTCATGGTGCTCGCACACCTCTTCCATGATGCTCGGCACCTCTCATGATGTTCAGTCACATGCCTCAGCTGAAGGCCTTCCCGGCTGATGCTCATGATGCGCGAGCATCTGCGCTAGCTGCCCTAGCCGATGCTCCTGATGCTCGGGCTCTTGCCTCAGCTTGCCAGGTGATGCTCATGATGTGCGGGCATCTGCCCTAGCTGCCCTGGCTGATGCTCATGATGCTCGGGCTTTTGCCTGAGCTGATTGAAGGCCTTCCCAGCTGATGCTCATGATGCCGGGCAATGGCCCCAGCTAATATTGTTGGCTCATGATGCTCGGGCTCTTGCCTCAGCTGACTAACCCATGCTCATGATGCTAGCTAGCATCAGCCGGGAAGGCCTTCAATCAACTGAGGCAGGTGCCCGTTCATCATCAGCATCAGCTAGGGCCGGCTCCCAAGCATGATGATGCCCCAGATGCCCGCGCATCATGAGCATCAGCTCGGAAGGCCTTCAATCAGCTGAGGCAGGTACCCGAGCATCATGAGCATCAGCTGGGCCGGTGCCCAAGCATCATGAGCATCAGCACGAACGAAAGAAAGAGAAAAGAAAGTGCCCTCCCTGGGCTACCCCCCGTTGAGCCACATACCGCTGCTTCCACTTCTCCAGCACATCCTGCCGGCAAGTCAAGTTAGCCAGGAATCCTTAACCCTGCAGTGCGGTCAGTCCAGCCAGCCAGGTGCTGAAAGCGGTGCTTGCAGAATACTCAACACTAAAGTCACTAAAGGCGTTTGAATTGACACGGCCCCGATTTAAAATGACTGCGAGGTGGAAAACGCCCCCCAACCACGGAAACCACGGACATATGAGTTCGTCATAGCAGAGGGAGCGTCGAGGGCACAGGACTGAAGCCTGGGCTTAGAGCTATTGCAGAGATGCGTCTTGCTGGTGGAGCTCATGCCCCACATGAAACACACACACATATACACACATACACACACTTTACTCTGCTCCCGCTTCTTCTTGAAACGACCCTGGAGTGTGAAGGTGTGGGCGACAGTATTGACCGAAGTGGCGGCAGACGTCTCAAATCCTGGGGTTGGGTATCAACCGCTTTGCTCTCAGGCTCCGGGGGGCGGGGGGCTTGAGGACTGGACGTGACTGGACTTCGGGAGTCAGATATTCAGGATGACCCCTTGGCAACTTTGGACCAAGTTGACGTTGCCATCTTGGTTTTATGCCGGAGTCCATGTTGGCCTGGAGCAGGCAGTGCGCACAGCCAACAACACCATCCAGTGCTTCCGCAACCAGAACTTCAACATCTCACAACTTGGGGCTCAGTCGAATATCTATGCCACTTCCATGCGCAGGCACAAGTTTTCCTTTTGGAGAATAAGGATGAGCACGGCGTAAGGTAAAGCCCCACATGCACTTGCGTGAGCATGATCTGAGGTGCAAAGTGGGCCCAATGCTACTTCTACAAACATCGTTGAGGGTGCACTTCAAATCAATCAGCCGCGGATCCTTCAGCAACTCGAGTCAAGCAAGTGGCATGCGTAGCATATGTCACGTGCTTCATGAGGGCGTTGCCCAATGCCTCGCGGTGCCTGACATGCTGGGCTTGCATAAGATCTTTCAAGGGGGAAGCAGTGAAAGGAAGCACCGAAGCCCGGAACCAAGGATCACACGCAGCCACGAGTTCGAAGTGGGAGCGCTAGATGTCACCATTGAAGGGCAGCACTTCGGCACCCAAGCGAACGGCAACATGGTGGCCTGACAGCAGTTACGCAGACCGTGACCCGTTACCTGTCATATTGCCGGTTACAGTTCGGGTTCTTGGGATGTTCGCCCTTATACTAACAGTCCTTGCATAATAGGGGGTACTATGATTCCTATTCAGGACAGGGGGACCATGCCCAAGTCTGAATCGAGTTCAGGTGGTGCAACTGGAGACCTTCGGTGCAAATACCCAGGCTGTGCCGGACCTGTGCCTTGCTCATGTCTGGACATTTCCCAGAACACGGAGTACCCAAATATACACCCCCAAACACTATAATTGACTACATAATCCCCAATTATCGGAACCCCCCAAAACGGGTACCCCCCCCCCCCCCCCCCCCCCCCCCTATTCCGGAAACCTCCATGTAGGTGAACCGCGGCGAATCACCGCTTTCCACACTCACGGGGCTGGGTGTTTTAGTGCCAAATGCCTTGCAAGCCTGAAGCTTTTCACGGTGGCACCGATTCTCGCAAACCCGAGGTCCCTTGCGGAAGATCTTGGACAGCCCACACACATCGTTCCTTGCCAGGTCATCAGCCACCAGGATTCTCCGCCCTTTTGAAGGAATGGTTTCATCCGTTTCTTTGTGAGGCTGCGCTGGGTTGCGCTCAAAACCTCGTCAGACAAACATTCACTCAGCAAGCTGGCTACCAAGAATCAGCTCGCAGATTCCTTATTGCTCGGTAACGAAGCTCCCAGCAGCCACTATACAACCCCACAGGCTGATGTGTTCATCTGCATAAATAGTCTACGGCCGCATGCGTTGGCTCGGGTATGCTGGGGTGCATTTCTAGAATTGCCAGCTTTTTGTTGAATAGCGAAGAGACACGCTCGTCGCCCATGCGGGAGGACACAGAGGTCCGCTGCCGCGTCGAGGATCAAAACCTCTTCGGTGCAGCGGTGTCAGGCGGATGCTGGGCAGCAACTCCGCGAAACCGAAAATAAAAGCAGCACAGACTTTTCAGCACGGCCACGAAGGCCGCAAGGTGCCGTTGGGCCTGTTGGCACCCCTGCTTGGTTGCACAACATGCCTTTTTGGCCACCCGGACTTCTGCCGGTTAGAACACTTGAGAGATCTTGAGAGCCTAAGTGAGCCAAGAATACTACAACGAGACGGTGGAGGTCGATGAGGGTCGCCGGCTGCAGGAAGGTGAGAGTTTGGACCTGGAGAGGCGCTTGGGCCCGCACGGGTGCTTCGGGGGAGCTGAAGGATGCTCAGGGGCTTAATGGACGGATTTGGGGGAAAGGCTGGGTATCTGCGGCTGCTGGTTCGGGTTACTGAAGGCGGTGCGGTGTTCTTTGTGAGAAGGGAGTTTGCGTGCAAGCTCCCAGAAGTGGAACATGGCCCTGGCAACTTTCGACTTAAACGCCATTCTGACAACGCAACAAACTCGAAGCATCGGGCTTGTAGCCATGCGACCTTTCTCAGGTTGGCACTGCAGTTGTCGCAACTCCCTGTGGGCTTTTCAGTCTTCTACGAGCTACTCATCTGCATAAGCCTTCTCCTTCACATAGCCATTGAAAGCTTCCGGCTATTCGGTAAATGCGCCGAACCCTGCTGGTGCATGGGTTCCTTGGCAGCTTGTTGTGCCTGACCCAGTTCTTCCGACAGCGAAGCCGCAATTCAGGCTTGACTGCAGCATTCTCGAGAGGCCGTCAGAGTCGCCTTTGCCAGGGTTTCAGGGCTGTATGTGACTTGACTCATGCAAGGCGCGTCTTTCCGGACGCAGGCAGCAGGATAACATCAGAAAGGCTACAGGGCTACTCACAACTGCAAAAGGAATGAGCATCTTTGAGTTGAATCGGAGGGATTTCGCACCAATCACAAATGCCAAGCGCCCACAGAACACAAAGCACCAATTCGTCCTGCAGGTGCACAGTAGCAAGAATGAAGCCTACGCCGCCTACACCACTCAATCTTTCGTGAGCGATCAGCCTTCCCCAGGCATATCGAACATGGTTCGCATTCGCAAGAGCAAGCCATGAAACGCCTTCTGCGCTTGTCAGGCTGAACCAGACCTGCAATCGTCCTCAGAATCTGTCCGCCCTGTCGAGGCGGCGCGCCATTTGCATCTACTTTGTTGCCCCCCCTCCCCCCTCCCATCCAGGAATTTCGCTAATCTGAGAGCTGCAGCTGGGTAACACGTGCTCAGTGGAGCTGATGCCTTCATGGTCCCAACGTATGACTCAATCTTCGATAAGCAGCTACACTCTTCCAACCCTGAATCCTCCTTCATAAACTCTTTTAAAGGGCAACGCCGGCCAGCCCTTCCGGAAGCACCACAAAGAAGCAAGTGCCATCCGATGAGGGAGTGGCAAGCGGTGCGGCTGAAACCCTGCCCGGCCGGTGAGAGGAGAAGTAGCTTCTCAGGCAGCTTGGAGGCAGCCGTCAGGCGCTTTTCAGAAAGGACTTTGGAGGCACTGGTTTGGTGTTGAAGCTTTGTCTGAAGTTCGGGTCGGATTCGTGAGATGTGTGCGCTTTTGCGTGCCTTCTTCCTCCAAAACCCAGACCGCACGAATTTTTCTCCAAGCCGCATATTGGACGAAAATTCCGCTCTCGCCTAGGGGCCGGTGTGGCCACGCTCGTTTGGTTTCTGTGTTCGCGAAATGCGACCCAAACAGTGAGGGACCATATGAGCCAAGAAGTCCCAAAGCGATGACAGTTTCGCACCAAGGTCCAGAAGCTAGGACAGTTTCGCAGTTGGGGAACCAGACATCCAAAAGCGAGGACAGCTGGCTGCGCTGGTACAATTTTTCTTCACCGGGCCTCTTTTGGCTCAGGGTTGGTCAGGCTGCAGCGCATGGATTGTACCTGTTTGGTACACCCACGGCCGGGGCCGTTTGCGGTTCTCCTCCCCGCAGAGCATCCCGCAGAGTATAGTATCCTGGAATTGCAGAATCTGCATGCAGAGTACTCTCCCACAGAGACCTCGCAACCTAGAGTATCCCTATTGCAGGGAGGCTTCTCGCAGCCTTTGGGTGTAGCGCAGGAGAAGGATACCCTCTTGTCTTGACCTCTTCCCCCCCCCCCCTGAAGCATCCCTCCAGGCACAGGTTGCGTTCAGTGCGTCCCAGGCACGTACAAGAGCAGCTTGGTAGCCATGGGTTTCAATCGGGAGGTCGGCTGGTGGACACTTCCGTGACCGATAGAACGAACCCTCAGACAGTTAAAAGTCCCTCCGCTAACATAGATTGAATAAATCTTCCGCATTCTTTCGACCAGCCTTCCTGGGGGGCACCCCCAAACTCCGCAAAGCAAAGGCATCCAACATCCAAAGATTTTTGAGAGGGGATGTTAAGTATATGTTAAGTACTCCCAGGTGGCGTGGGCCCGGCCTTGTCCTGCAACGAGTGCGGCATCGGCTTCTACATGGGACTCCCGGGCGCAGGTTGGCGGCGCAGAGTTTTTTGGGCGTAGGCTGCGTAGGCTGCGATGTCCAGTCAGGGTGGGGGGAAATTGCGGAGAAGCTCGATAGGAGTGTCGAGGGAAGCTTGCATGTCGATTGGACGGAGACAGGTGCTTGCACGGCCTGCCCCGTGCATGAGACGACGAACGTCACGGGCGCCACGAGCATCAGCTCGTGTGATTGCATGCCAGGCTATTTCCGCACCAACATCCGGGCCGAAGCTTGCTTCAACTCAAGCCAAGCCCAAACAGAAACAGAGCTGTGACCTTCACTTCAACTTCAGAAGTCTCAGATTGATCATGTACAGTGGCTGCCTGGCTGCCTCCAGTGACTCAGTGACACCTGCTACCTAAAAACCAGACAGCAAGTGACCCCATGTCCCCAAACATTCCGAACGAACATTGCATCATCACAGGATTGGGAGCTTGCCCTCAGCCACGGTGTTTGTCGAGCCTGTCCAGACGGAGCCATTTGCAACTTGCCCAGGTGGTTGCAGTAGCAGTCATTGCCTCCTGACCCTAGCTTCAGGCACCTGCTAAACTACCAATCCCCTTGACAGCATGAACAGTCGTTTTGATGAAGCGTGGGCCCGTGTGAGTTGTGTGAGGCGAGGGCGGGCCGATCCAACCCTACTCCGCACATGGATACTGGACCCCCGACAGGCACGACCTGCCAGACCTTCTCAAAGCAGTAGACAGTCGTTGTGGCATGTCGAACGGCAAGCCCCCGCCCTTGCGGCCCCTTCGATTCGGAGAGAAAGCGCTTGGTTCAGGCTCGTCTTCTGGCCTTGTTTCCCATCTCACGCGTGCCTCAAAGGACGACGTGGGACATGTGGAGAGAGCGCAGGGCACGATTCGGGCATGATCACCACGTGCTTCCTCAGTTTGCCCTGAATCTTGCTGCAGTCACCATGTCCATCGTACCGATACCACATCTACGTTCATGTGGCACCGGCATGTAGCATTCTCCCCCGGCTTCCCTGCGTTGCAGGAGATGCAGTCGGCAGGGCACCTAACTGCTGATGCCTTCTAAGGTTGCTGTCACTCTGTCTTGTTTCAACGTATTTCAACATGTCTAAACTTTAACAAGTAGCTGTCTAAGCCCTGCTGAGATCCAAACCTCTGCGAAGATGCGCGCGATCCTTCATCGATCCGCTGCGGGCGCTGCCATACAGATGCTTTTGCGCATCAGAGCCCGCCAGCTGAACGTGGCTACGTGTAGCCAGTGCTAGCTGCTAGCCGGGTAGCCGATCATGCCGGAGATTGCGCCGGACTGGACTTGCAAGACTCTTGTAAGGGGTGTCGCAAGCAGCAAGCAGCACCAGCATACGGAGTCTTTGTCTGTGCGGGTTCGGTGGAGGGTGTTGCTTGTACCGGGATCCTGGAATGCAAAGCTAGTCCATGATGCAAAAAAAAACGCATCTCAGCAGCCTTTTCAAGGCGAGTGCTATTCCTGCGGGGGCCTGGACGTTGCACTTGCCTGGATGGGGCCCTTCTTGGGCCTTTTGGCGCTGGTGTTCGCGACTGGGCGCAAAACAGGCTGAAGGCATTTTGGAAGTGGGTGGGCAATCATTCCCTGTTGCAAGGCATTTTCCCAAGTTGCCAGGGGAGAATCGAAAGATGTCTGGACGTGACATGCGACCATACATCAACTGAGCCGATCTGCTGAGACTGACGATACAGGTCTTAGATAAGAGCTAATTGAGAACTACAGACAAAGACGCCACACAAATCTGGGATCTGAGGGGTTCCTTCCAGCCTTGGTTCGTTCGCTCCGCGGCTCGGCTCAAGGCTTTGAGCATCATTTTCTCTCATGTGTTCTGTGAATGGCTGCGATTGCTTCACAAGGTACCTATAGTAATTCATAGTAATCAACGGTTCGGGGTTTGAATAGATGTGACCCAAGCCAAAAGATAGAATTACGACCGTAGTTTCTCCACAGTCCTGACTCACAAGCTACGAAAGCGCCGCCTTAGCCCAATACCCACCACCTTTTCCCCATGTCTCAAACAGCCTGAAAAAGCATGCAAGCACCTCTGAGCATCGCACAACAACCCCAAGGACAAAGGCAAATCACAACCACCGCCAAAACCCACAGCAATCCATAGTTCAGTCAAAAAACCAAAGTACCCAAATTCGGTTATACTGAACGGCTGAGTGTGACTTGGTACAAGCGTCAGGAGGGGGGCGGTAGAAGAAGTGAGTTGTTTGGGTCAGTGGGTGAGCATCCACAGCTAACTCAAGGATCCATGGACATGGAGCACACGGCGCTCCAGCAACGGCTGCTCCACACGGGACAATCCTCCTCATGGCTAGGCTGGAGCTACAGTTTTCGGAAGGTTTCTCCCTTGAACGGGTGATACACCGGTGTGCGGGGCTGGCGTCTGCTTCCAGAAGCTTCCATGCTCGCCGAAGAGCTGAGCTTGGATGCCTCATCATGCCGTATAGACCCGTATAGAATGCTGGAAAGCCCTCAGTTGACCCCTCACAAGCACGCAACATGAGCCGCTTGGCACCTTCACAAGTCTCACCCTTACCCCCTCACAGCTCAAGTACATCGCAAGAGCCAAAAGTATGGCTAAAGCATCCCAGAGCGGCCAGCGCACCTTCAGCTTCCGATAAATTCAGCTTTCCATGGTTCGTTAGAGGCCGCCTCGCGGAGTCCGACCACGGAGAGTTCAGGATGGTGATTGTCATGCTCACATCGCTGCAGACGCCCCTCCAACCTGCAAATGGCCCAGGGGGGGGGGGGCGCATTTTGCATATGGCCTAGGGGAGTGCGGGGGGGGGGGGGGGGGGGGGCATTTTGGGCATTTTGAGGTCTTAAGGGCTCCGTGCTCATGCTCACGTGCTATTGTTTTGAGCGGGCGAAACGTTCATGGAATTGATCGCGCGGCAATTGGCGACTCCACGATGTGAGACATCGCAACCGGGGTTTGGCAAGAATGGGGGCAGGGTTTATTGTTAACATTGCAAGGGGTTTCACTCGGGATGATATGAGTATCATCAATGTTGTTGAGAGTGGGGCATGGCTTTTGGCTACTGGAAGGCTATGGACGGTCTCCCTGATGCCGCTCCCCTACACTCGACACTTGGGCACTCTTTGGGCTTTTCATGTTGTTCTTTCCGAGCTTCCTCTGACATGCGGAACTGCATCAGTGCCGCCACGTCCCAAGGATTCACAAAAGATTGGCTGTGGACCGTGGGCATGGCGCTTAGCACGGCCTCAAACATCTGGCAAGCCCTCTTGTGAGCATTCCCAGAAGCTGCCCCAAAGTGGGCGGTTTTGCACTGACCCAGGTATTGCGGCCTGCGACGTCTCGATCCTTCGGCCGCAGTGCGCATTCAAGCTGCCAGGCAAAGAAGTTCCATTCCTTGGTTTCCTTGAGACAGGTTGTAGTCCCGGTTTTTGCTTCGGGCGAAGACAGACCTGGACCCGAGCGCGCCTTTCTGCAGCTCTTTTCCAAGCAACGCTTCGGGTCATTTCGGTTCTACTTCACAATGGTGGGTTGCGTTGCTCGGAGTTCTTGTGTTTGTTGTTCGACGTGAGTGTTCAGAGAGGGTGTCTGGTTGCGATGGTGGCCCTGGTGCTTTCCTCGGCACAGGCTCTTGGCTAAGCTCGCCAAGCTGTTTAACAGCTTTTCATCCCTGAAAGAGGAACGATTGCCTTCTGCCAATGCCATGTGGTTCACCTGTTGGACCAGGGGGAGAAAGGTGTTTTCCAAGAGTAACTTGATCAATCGTGGGCTTCTGTCCGTCTGGGATCTGAGCTCCGACAGTGTCTTCTTGCTACGCACGATGTGGGCCTTGCTCTAATACTCTGCGTTACCTGCTGACCCTCTTCATGGATTCGATCATATAGGCTGATACAGAAGTAGCAACCACGCCGGTCGCACTTGCAGAGCTCGAAAAAGGGCGCCCCGTCGGAAAACACATGAGCGGAATTCAACCATGCTGGTACCTGCGCCAGCTGTGCGATGTTTTGCCCGTGTGCCGTGGTCTTCCTAGCATGAACCCTCGAACAGCAGCGTGACTCAGCTACTGGCCAAGGCTCTCCTATTTCATGAAGTGGCTTATGCAATGGGCGACTTTCTTCGTGGTCGTTGCATCTCGGACCCTGCACCCAGAAAGACAAACTCGTCTCAGCTTCAACTGTCGCTTAGGCATAGCAGATGAACCGCTTAACATCCTCACCCCTAGGCTGTGCTGACAGTGTCCATGATGGTGTATTGTGTGCACCACAAGTCACTTGGGCTGCAGAGCACTCACATTGACACCTGATGCACATCAGTCGGCCTTGGTAGGACTCTGTAGGACCTTAAGTTGCATTCTCGATGATTATCGTCCCTATTCAATTCTCGTCCTTCTTGGAGCTACTCTTGGTCACCCTCAGTAGTAGCTGGCCAAGCTGCTTGCTGAAGGAACCGGCTGCGGGACATCGGATACATCAGCCCCCGACGCGGCATTCTTGGTGTGGTCTCCGTCACCCTGATGCGCCTGGGGCCTCTCCCATGTCTGTTACAGTACACTGTGCCTCATGTTCGACCTCTCCTGGAACCTTCGCTGACTGTCACTATGTTGGAGGCTTGAACCTCACTGAACTTCTACTAATCTCTTTTCAGACCTCGAAGACTGGACTCATCTGAGGCTGCTGCTGTTGGTCCACCTTCGCGATGACATGATCTTTTTGAACTGCATACCATGCGAGGGCGACAAGTTCTGCATCTGGCACGCACGAGGGTTTTAGGTCTATCTCGGACGGTAGCGGATTCTGGATTGCAGGTTTTCCGGGGCAACGGAGCCCCAATCCCTTCTGAATCGAGGTCTGTCTTTCCAGCCCGTCATTGAATGCGCCACGACGAACTGGGTGCCTTTGGTGCAGAGAAGGAACAGCATGGAGAGCGCAGAGCCCTTGTCGAAGCTGAGCTCAGGAATGGACAGCCCGGGCCCTCAGAACACGCAGATTTGGTGTGCTCATGAGACCGGAGGAACAGAACGTCCCATGCAGCCCAAAATCCACTCCCCCTTTTTGCTCTAAACCCAGACGATGATGGTACTCTCTGTGCTGGACCTCCTCTTCGTGATCGTGGCCTCGGTGCCTTTCGTCGCCATGACAATCTACACGTCCTGGAAGTGGCAGCATGGGAAGCTTGGGCTCTGATAGAGCAACGGGAGTTTTCAAATCTGCCCTCTCAGAGCATCCCCCTGGGAGCATCTTCAATTCCTCTCTTCACGTTTGTCTCTGGCGTTTCTGGGGGGGGGGGGGGAGGGGTACCCTTGCCTTAAAGGCAACGTCGCGGCTTGGACTCTGCTTTTGCGGCACCTTGGTACGTGTACTTTTCAGACTCTTGGCTGTGAAATGGCACCATCAGGTTGCTCAGGATTCCCCTGCTTCAGATCATCCCAGATGCCTTTCTCAGGAGTTCTGGGTGAAACGACACCGTGGCTACATCCAAGAAGTGCGGCAGGCATGCCGCTCTTCTTCCCGATGGACTCCCAGCGCCTTGGCCACTGTGCAGCGATGTTCAGGCCGTGCCAGAGTTTCAGAAGCTCTTCCTGTCGGAAGACAACGTGGCCACATCGCACAAGGACCCGCCACGCCTTTGTCCACTTGCGGTTCTGGGTGGTCCTTTCCACATGCAAGTGACAAATTCTCAGTATGTGGCTCAGAGATCAGGGCTTGAGGATCATGGTGCTGGGACAGAAGACTCCGCAGATTGCTTCCCAAAAAAGCAGGCCGTATACGTATTCTTGTGGCCTGCGCATGAACTCCATGCCCGAAGTTCCAGTTTGAAGGAGATATGGCAGAGGGCTATCGACCTCATCTTGGCACAGGAGGCTGAGAAGGCGTGGTGTCATCGTGGTGTCATTGTGATGAATCCCATGAAGGGGCATCGAGTGTCAAAGTGTGCCAAGAGTGTTTCCATGGTTTCCGGGCCCTGCCCGGACCCTTTTTGCCAGGCAGATATGCTGCTGCTCCGTGTAATTGAGCACATGCGTCTGGGATGCGGATGATGCGGGTAGTTCCGGCAGTGTCGGCGTTGGAGTTTTCCCGGCTGCGCTCATGTTCTAAGTCCTGGGTGTTGCCGGCAGCCTCAGTCCGTGCTTAAAAAGTCCTGGGTTCCCCGAACGTGTTGCAGAATGCCTGTCCGGAGTCCTAAGGTACACACATAGCGATCGCTTCAAAGCGGTGGATGAGGATGAAGGCTGTGGATTCGATCCGAAATGTCCACAGCAGAGATTCAGATGAAGCCTCGGCCCGACCCACCTTGGGTTGTTTGTGAGTTCCGGGCCCGCGGAAGGTGGGAAGCTAAACTGCAAAGCATTGCACCTGCTGTAACAGGCCCCGCCTATCAGATCATCCGCGGAATCAGGCGGGAAGCGGGTCGAAGGGTCACCCTGACAGTAGCTGATATGCCAGGCGTGACGAGCGTGGTTGAGCATAGGGAAGATGCGAGGGAAGAGCAGATGGCCCGGGGCTTCGCCAGGAACGCCATCAGGCGCCGCAGAACAGATCACAGCGAGGCGTCCCAGATGGGCATGTAAGTCAGTAGATTCGGACGATTATAGCAGAGAGCGCAATCAGCATGCCAATCACAAACCATGTGCTGTGTGTGTGACAGCTATGATCGGCCTGGTGCTTGAACCCCCTGCGCGAAGGGCTTGACGTCCTCTGGCGGCGGGTATTCTTCAGAGGTGCGACCCTGCAATGTTACAACAGCCCCCCTAAAAGCAGCTCTTGGCTTTGAGTGATGGAGTTATTTGGGGCCGAGAGCAGTTTGCAGAGAAGCCGTGGCCGGCCCCAACGCAACAAGCGCTGCCACGAAGCCGACCAGAGCAGTCCCAGAAGATGCTCATATGGTGCCTAATCCGGCTTCTGTTAAATCAACTCGGGAGCCTTGTTGGGAGCACTCCAAATGATGGCACTTTGGCAGTTCCACACAGAGCTGCAAACGACAAGCCGCGGGAGCGGCAAACAGACGCTCATGATGCTCGCCTCGTAGTTCGGCTCTGGACCGCTTGGTGTGTCGGTGTGCGGAAGATCTGCGAACATTTGCGAAAAGCCGTCTCGCAGCAGAGCCGCTTCGAGCATTGCAGCATTGCAAAGCTGGTTTAACCGACGCTCAGGTTGCTCACTTTTTGTTTGCCAAACCCAAGAAATGGCCCAACCACGCTGAATGCTTGTGATTCGCTTGAGGCCACCGTCAACCGTCAAGTGCCGCCCGAGACGGAGCCTGGCGAGCCGCAAGCAACTGGCCCGAGCGGATCGTTACATCTCAGCGAGGCGGGCAGACAGGAGCATGCACGCTTGTGGGCAAAAGTGTACAGGGTTCCTGGCCCATCATTCAAGTGGTCTCAATAGTGTCTCAAGTAGTGAAGCGTCACACATCGCAGAACAACTCCTGTCGGGTTGCGATTGGAGACCTGGCATGGCAGCATGGGCAGTATGTGGCGAGGCCGTGACAGCTGCCAGCGGCAGGTTTTCTTCAGAGGTGCCATCCCGCTCTCTTGCAGGGGCTCGGGTTGCCAAGGGGGCATGCAACACCATCTCCAACCAATAACACATCGATCTTCAGGACCCATCTTCGATACCCGCCAGACTAGCTCATCATAGCTCCTGCCCCCCGAAGGAAGCGCCGGTGCCGCCAGAGACCGAGCCTGTGGTGGCCGCTGTAACCGACGATCGGCTCTACCCCATGGAGGCGCCGGCGAACCATAAGGCTTGCTGCTAGGTTCGCGTTCGGGCATGTGGCGGTAGGAGTTCTACTGTTGCAGGAGCAGTGGAGTCACTGTCGTCTGTTGGAGGCCTTACCTCTGATCCCCCATGAGGCTTGTCAGCCCTCAAGCGCAGGAGCCTCCGCAGCTCCAAGAGCCGCCTCCAGACTCAGATCCACCGGACCCGAAGCTGGAAACACTGAAGGCAAAGAGCGAGGGCCGAGAGTGCACTTCTCGCCCAGCCTGCAAGTTGCAAGAGCAGCATAGAGCAGCCCACGCCCTCGAGCAGGTGTCGGATGTGCACCATGTGAAGCTGCTTTTGGGCACTTAGGGCATCTTTTGCTCCTGAATGGAGTTCTTTCAAGATCCTTGGTCCGAGAGCCCACATTAGCCGTTGCGCACACACCTCGCCTACTGAGACAAGCGCTCTGCAAAAGTCTTGTCTTTGTTTGCAAGTAAGGCTGACACTCGAGAACCTCCTTGACTATGCAAAGTCCGCTGGCATGAATTGCAGTTGCTGTTGGGGTGGTGTATCATAATTGGGTTGGAGATAATGTTGGGACAATGGGACTGGGACTGGACTGGAAATGCTTGTTACTTTGTGGAGCAGCAAGTCACTGGCCGTGAAATGGGGGCAGCGAACTCCCCTGCCGACTTTGCTGACCAAGTATGCCGTATGCAAGTGTAGGTACCAGTGAAGAGGACGTGCCGCGAGCATTTCCTCGACGTCGTTCTGCTGTGAGCATCTCCTTGCTGTCATCCTGCTGTGGGCATTTGCTTGCTGTCATCCTGCTGTGAGCATCTCCTTGCTGTCATCCTGCTGTGAGCATCTCCTTGCTGTCATCCTGCTGTGAGCATTTCCTGGCTGCCATCCTGCTGTGAGCATTTCCTGTGAGCATTTCCTTGCTATCGTACTGCTGTGAGCAGTTCCTTGTTGTCATCTTGCTGTGAGCATTTCCTTGCTGTCATCTTGCTGTGAGCATTTCCTTGCTGCCATCCTGCTGTGGGCATTTCCTTGCTGGACCTGCTGCTGTGAGCATTTCCTCGCCGCCGTTCTGCTGTGAGCATTTCCTTGCTATCATCCTGCTGTGAGCATTTCCTTGCTGTCATCCTGCTGTGAGCATTTCCTTGCTGTCATCCTGCTGTGAGCATCTCCTTGCTGTCATCCTGCTGTGAGCATTTCCTTGCTGTCATCCTGCCGTGAGCATTTCCTTGCTGTCATCCTGCCGTGAGCATTTCCTTGCTGTCATCCTGCTGTGAGCATTTCCTTGCTGTCATCCTGCCGTGAGCAATTCCTTGCTGTCATCCAGCTGTGAGGATTTCCTTGCTGTCATCCTGCTGTGAGGATTTCCTTGCTGTCATCCTACTGTGAGCATTTCCTTGCTGTCATCCTGCTGTGAGCATTTCCTGGCTGCCATCCTGCTGTGAGCATTTCCTGTGAGCATTCCCTTGCTATCGTACTGCTGTGAGCATCTCCCTGCTGTCATCCTGCTGTGAGCATTTCCTTGCGATCGTACTGCTGTGAGCATTTCCTTGCTGCCATCCTGCTGTGGGCATTTCCTTGCTGGACCTATTCTTGCTGTCATCCTGCTGTGAGCATTTCCTGTGAGCATTTCCTTGCTATCGTACTGCTGTGAGCATTTCCTTGTTGTTATTTTGCTGTGAGCATTTCCTTGCTGTCATCTTGCTGTGAGCATTTCCCTGCTGTCATCCTGCTGTGAGCATTTCCTTGCGATCGTACTGCTGTGAGCATTTCCTTGCTGTTATTCTGCTGTGAACATTTCCTTGCTGTCATCTTGCTATGAGCATTTCCTTGCTGCCATCCTGCTGTGGGCATTTCCTCGCCGTCATTCTGCTGTGAGCATCTCCTTGCTGTCATCCTGCTGTGAGCATTTCCTTGCTGTCATCCTGCTGTGAGCATTTCCTTGCTGTCAACCTGCTGTGAGCATTTCCTTGCTGTCATCCTGCTGTGAGCATTTCCTGTGAGCATTTCCTTGCTATCGTACTGCTGTGAGCATTTCCTTGTTGTTATTTTGCTGTGAGCATTTCCTTGCTGTCATCTTGCTGTGAGCATTTCCTTGCTGCCATCCTGCTGTGGGCATTTCCTTGCTGGACCTGCTGCTGTGAGAATTTCCTCGCCGTCATTCTGCTGTGAGCATTTCCTTGCTGCCATCCTGCCGTGAGCATTTCCTTGCTGTCATCCTGCTGTGAGCATCTCCTTGCTGTCGTCCTGCCGTGAGCGCTTTCTTGCTGTCATCCTGCTGTGAGCATTTCCTTGCTGTCATCCTACTTTGAGCATTTCCTTGCTGTCATCTTGCTGTGAGCATTTCCTTGCTGCCATCCTGCTGTGGGCATTTCCTTGCTGGACCTGCTGCTGTGAGCATTTCCTCGCCGTCGTTCTGCTGTGAGCATTTCCTTGCTATCATCCTGCTGTGAGCATTTCCTTGCTGTCATCCTGCTGTGAGCATTTCCTTGCTGTCATCCTGCTGTGAGCATCTCCTTGCTGTCATCCTGCTGTGAGCATTTCCTTGCTGTCATCCTGCCGTGAGCATTTCCTTGCTGTCATCCTGCCGTGAGCATTTCCTTGCTGTCATCCTGCTGTGAGCATTTCCTTGCTGTCATCCTGCCGTGAGCAATTCCTTGCTGTCATCCAGCTGTGAGGATTTCCTTGCTGTCATCCTGCTGTGAGGATTTCCTTGCTGTCATCCTACTGTGAGCATTTCCTTGCTGTCATCCTGCTGTGAGCATTTCCTGGCTGCCATCCTGCTGTGAGCATTTCCTGTGAGCATTCCCTTGCTATCGTACTGCTGTGAGCATCTCCCTGCTGTCATCCTGCTGTGAGCATTTCCTTGCGATCGTACTGCTGTGAGCATTTCCTTGCTGCCATCCTGCTGTGGGCATTTCCTTGCTGGACCTATTCTTGCTGTCATCCTGCTGTGAGCATTTCCTGTGAGCATTTCCTTGCTATCGTACTGCTGTGAGCATTTCCTTGTTGTTATTTTGCTGTGAGCATTTCCTTGCTGTCATCTTGCTGTGAGCATTTCCCTGCTGTCATCCTGCTGTGAGCATTTCCTTGCGATCGTACTGCTGTGAGCATTTCCTTGCTGTTATTCTGCTGTGAACATTTCCTTGCTGTCATCTTGCTATGAGCATTTCCTTGCTGCCATCCTGCTGTGGGCATTTCCTCGCCGTCATTCTGCTGTGAGCATCTCCTTGCTGTCATCCTGCTGTGAGCATTTCCTTGCTGTCATCCTGCTGTGAGCATTTCCTTGCTGTCAACCTGCTGTGAGCATTTCCTTGCTGTCATCCTGCTGTGAGCATTTCCTTGCTGTCATCTTGCTGTGAGCATTTCCTTGCTGCCATCCTGCTGTGGGCATTTCCTTGCTGGACCTGCTGCTGTGAGAATTTCCTCGCCGTCAGCCGTCATTCTGCTGTGAGCATTTCATTGCTGCCATCCTGCCGCGAGCATTTCCTTGCTGTCATCCTGCTGTGAGCATCTCCTTGCTGTCGTCCTGCCGTGAGCGGTTCCTTGCTGTCATCCTGCTGTGAGCATTTCCTTGCTGTCATCCTGCTTTGAGCATTTCCTTGCTGTCATCCTGCTGTGAGGATTTCCATGCTGCCATCCTGCTGTGAGGATTTCCTTGCGGTCATCCTGCTGTGAGCATTTCCTTGCTGTCATCCTGCTGTGGGCATTTCCTTGCTGTCATCCTGCTATAAGCATTTCCTGTGAGCATTTCCTTGCTATCCTACTGCTGTGAGCATTTCCTTGTTGTTATTTTGCTTTGAGCATTTCCTTGCTGTCATCTTGCTGTGAGCAGTTCCTTGCTGCCATCCTGCCGCGAGCATCTCCTTGCTGTCATCCTGCTGTGAGCATCTCCTTGCTGTCATCCTGCTGTGAGCATTTCCTTGCTGTCATTCTGCTGCGAGCATTTCCTTTCTGCCATCCTGCCGCGAGCATTTCCTTGCTGTCATCCTGCTGTGAGCATCTCCTTGCTGTCATCCTGCTGTGAGCACTTCCTTGCTGTCATCCTGCTGTGAGCATCTCCTTGCTGTCATCCTGCTGTGAGCATTTCCTGGCTGCCATCCTGCTGTGTGCATTTCCTTTGAGCATTGTTGTTCTTTTGCTGTGAAATTCCTTGCTGTCATCTTGCTGTGAGCATTTCCTTGCTGCCATCCTGCTGTGGGCATTTCCTTGCTGGACCTGCTGCTGTGAGCATGTCCTGGCCGTCATCCTGCTGTGAGCATTTCCTTGCTGTCCTCCTGCCGCGAGCATTTCCTTGCTGCCATCCTGCTGTGAGCATTTCCTTGCTGCCATCCTGCTGTGGGCATTTCCTTGCTGCCATCCTGCTGTGAGCATTTCCTGGCTGCCATCCTGCTGTGAGCATTTCCTTGTTGTTATTTTGCTGTGAGCATTTCCTTGCTGTCATGTTGCTGTGAGCATTTCCTTGCGGCCATCCTGCTCTCAGCATTTCCTCGCCGTCATTCTGCTGTGAGCATTTCCTTGCTGCCATCCTGCCGCGAGCATTTCCTTGCTGTCATCCTGCTGTGAGCATCTCCTGGCTGTTATTCTGCTGTGAGCAATTCCTTGCTGTCATCCTGCTGTGAGCATTTCCTTGTTGCTATTTTGCTATGAGCATCTCCTTGCTGTCATCCTGCTGTGAGCATTTCCTTGTTGTTATTTTGCTTTGAGCATTTCCTTGCTGTCATCTTGCTGTGAGCAGTTCCTGGCTGCCGTCCTGCTGTGAGCATTTCCTGTGAGCATTTCCTTGCTATCGTACTGCTGTGAGCATTTCCTTGTTGTTATTTTGCTGTGAGCATTTCCTTGCTGTCATCCTGCTGTGAGCATCGACACACGCAGAGACTGTTTCTGAATGTACTGACTGTTGCAGGCCCCATGTCGTGCACTCTTGGGGAAGTCACTGATGCTCGTGATGATCTAGGGGGGGGTTGCTGAGAGCACGGTTTGTATTAAGCGAGACCTGAAGGATGGTAATGTTGTCAACGCTGTCTCATCTGTCGCTGTTGCGCGCTGGCCTGATCGCACCTGTCTGCATGCACCTTTTGTTCGAAAGAGCAGAGCTAGAAGACCTAGAAGAGCTAGAAGAGCTGAGGGACTGACAGAGACTGTGAGAGGGCATGCTTCGCTCGAAACGATTTTTCCGATTCTCTTATCGACTGAAACATTCTCCTTGTGTGCTTGTGAAGCTGAAGCATGTGCAGGAAGGAATGCAGTGTACTGTAATACGGTAACAGCTGTGTGGCGCCGGTGTGTGTGGGCCTGCGCATAAGTTGTTGTTTCTGTGCCTCCGATGCTGGGTGTGTTTTTGTGTCTGGAGTTGGCGCTGCTTCGGCACTGCAAATCAAGCAGCTCGCAAGCATAGGTGCCCAACATGCCTTCTCACCTCGAGAGCCAAGTGTGCACCGAAAGCCAATCGAGGTGGTCAGTGCCTGGTGCCCGAGCCATCAAGCAACCCGGCTTTGGTCCAGGAAGCGGGAGTAGCTGAGAAAAATTGCCGGCGCCATTCCCATGACTCACATTGCTCGCTCACGTCATACACCTTGAACAACCCTCCGTTCTACCATGTCTGGCGCGGCATAGACTGCACGATCTGTCCGATCCCCGGTTCTCATGCAAGATTGGACAGCAGGATTTGGGGGATCAACGCACGTGGCCATGTGACCCTGTGCCATGCTCTTTGAAAGAATCATGGGGGGCTTCCCTGAAAATCTGAGGAGGGTGCTGTCTTACTGCTGGACCCTGATCCTTCTCGTTGCTCGCAGCTCTGCGGGGACCAAGAGAGGCGTAGGACTGCACTGATTGTTTGGCAGTGTACAGTAGCAGTGTAGCAGCAGAGGAACTGCAACCCAGCAGACATTAAGCACACACAAGGGTGCCATTAGCGAGGCCTTGCGGACTCAGCCACAGGCTCTGTCATATCAAAGCGCAGTTCACAGGCCGCTGTAGTTCGTGTCCTGACACTGAGGATTTGTGATCACAGCCTACGCAATGCTCATGCCGAGAGATCAATCCAATGTACCCCTGTTGTACCTCCTCGTCACGCTTGCGCGTGGGCCTTAGCGAAGCATTCTAGGGCATTCGTGCTGAAACATTCCGGAACTTGTCATGATGGGAATGGGTAAAACGCCTGGCTTCACTTGGGGGTTTCTGGAAGTCCAGCACCGATTGGAGGGTATATACGCCTTGGTGACAGAGCGCACATGACAGAAGCAGACATTTACATTTTTCACTATTACGCACTTCACCTGATATGCCTTTTCATTATGGTTGGACGGTTTACAAGCAGAAGCCTGAAAATCTTCAAAGCACGAGACTGGGATCCCGCACTCCCACCCGCGCAAAACGGTAGTTTATCTGTTTTTTGGAGACGTTCACTTCTGCCTGCGCGCAGATGAAAGCTGTCAGGTTCTAAGCTTTCGAAGCTTCCATGTACTAGAAGTCAGCTGTTCAGGTACGTCATTCTCGGGGCTGGCCTCCAACCCTATGTTTGGAACTTCCTGAACGACTGGGTGCCTGGACGAAATAGGGGGCCGTGATCAGTTCTTTTGTACTTGGCAGCATGGCAAACCCAGCTGCCCTGCCCTGGGGAACTCGGCTGCGACTGTCTCCCACCATGCGCCCGCAGAATCACAGAAGATGCGAAGTTGTTCAGGATGCGCCACAGAAGCTGAAAGTGACATCCGGTTTCTGGAAGCAACATGACATGGCCACCTTCGCCAAACTGCTGCCTACCGCACGATTGTCTGTTTTCTCAACCATCTGAAGTTCAGTTCGGGAGGATAAAGTCTAGGTGTTCAGAAAATGGCTTCCGAAAGCCAAAGCAGAACCTCGATCCGATGGGTGCCCTGCTGTCGTATTGCCAGTTACATGGGCTATTAACATTGCCATTGGGTCGTGTGCGAAGTGCTGCTGCATGTGCTGAAGGAAGTGGCAGTCCATTCCTTGATTTATGTGTTGCCTGGCTGCACCTGACTGCTTGTCGTAGTGCGGCTGGAGAGCACCAGGCGGCAGGATTTGGCCGCATGAGCATTGCATGAACATTAAAGTGGCTCAAATCAATGTCCGTTGCATCATTGCTTTCGGGGTCTAGGCACAGCTCAGCGCGCAATCGATGTTGTGCAAGGTTCTTGCTCTTTGTCATATCGGGTTGGTCAGTGCCTTGGCAGAAGCCACACCAGGTCTCCGAACTCCCGAGGAAGGATCCGACCGTCCACCGCATTAGCGTGTGCTTGCCGCATAGGGCTATACCTACGCGAGTCCAGACCGCAACCCCCTCATCCAACAGACATGAATCTTTGCTAAGGACACTGCCAGCGATGTGCTGGTCGTAGTAGCCACCATGACAGCAATCGTGCCTGTAATCCTTCGCTTCTTCGTCGTCCTCTGTGGGCAGGATCTGCATGGCAGGGGTGGGTGAGGTCTTGTTGCTCTCGCGAGGGCTCGTGCTCTGTTTGAATTCCAATCATATTTCTGGAGGAGAAACAGGATCCCGAAGAAGACGCCGTAAGCAAATCACAGGGCGCCGCCGCGGACTCAAGACGCCCCTTCTAACGGGCGCATACTACGTCACAAATATGAGTTCTGTCCTGTATGATGTTTACGATTGTATACGTATACCGTACAAGTACAATGATTCAGGCTTGCGCTTGAAGGATATCGAAGCACGGCTGCAAAATCTGCAAAGGCCACCTACGACCTCGAGCGGCTTGGACGGTCCATGCAGTCTCAAGGCCGCTTGTACTCATTGGACTCGGCTTATGCTACGAAATGCTAGACGGCTCTTCCCTCATTCGATGTGTTAAACAACCTTGTTTGTTAAATGGCCGATTGTCACAGCTGAAGTAGGTTCTGCGACCATAAACTTCACTTCGAGCGGGCATGTTCGGGAGTTCCCATGCTCAGCTAAGAAGATTCTTGTGAGGAAGCGTTTCGCGGGCCACCTCGGCTGTTAGCTCTCGGCCAACCACACGAACGAGGCCAAGGGGTTGGAGGAATCAGATGGTGGGACATCAGAAAGCTGCAGCAAACATCGTGGCTTGGTATGGCTTCGTTTGTTCAGGTTGCTGTGAAACAGGACTTGGGTTTAGGCCGTTTTGGCCACAGCACCCGCGTCCGCAGTGGCTTGATCTGTCCAACTTTGGGTCAGACGTGCAGCCCGGCAGCCCCCCAAAAGCTGTTTGCCAGGTCCATCCAAGATGGCAGGATCCCAAGCTTCGTAGATGCACCTGCCACCGCTGCAAAGGGCAAGGTTTGTCGCTGATATAGGGCGTTATCTGCAGAGAAGTTCAGTGTGGGACCTGCTTAAGCAAACACATAAAGACAAAGGTCAGAGAGATCTTGCAGGATTTTCGCGGTAACTAAGGCCGTCACAGGGAGCACATCCGAAATTACATCGACATGGTTGCCGGGCTGCAATTGAATGCGCAAGTCATGCAGAGGCTTTTCACTGCCCTCCGCCACTGTCCTGGCGATGCTTGCAGAATGTTCGGATTCGTCACGCATTGCTTAAGAACATCCAAGATTTTGTTTTGACCCTGACATGAAGTGTGTGTGTGTGTGATGGTGATGATGATGATGATGATGATGATGATGATGATGATGCCATGGGTACCAGCGTACCGATGGAGAAGCTTCAAAGTCTTGTTGCAAAGTGAGCTGCTGCCTGGCGCGAGCCTAGAAAGCCAACCCTACTCATGAACAAACACCCTGGATGAAAGGTGAAACAGCAGAACATAGGCATCGTGCAGTCGACGGTTGATGAGCAAGGACGAGAAGTTGCGCTGACCCGAAGCATGGAGGCCGGAATCTGCTCTGTCCCGCAAAGCAGGGAGGGTGGTAAGGTCTGCCATGACATCATGCTACTTGTAAAAAGGGCCATTCAAGCTGCAACAGTCCCAAGCTTGTCACCCCATGGACTCTCGGACTCTCATAGCCTCCAGGTGCGAAAGCCTTAAAGCCCAAGCCTGCGGCCTCTCAGTAGAGAAGTTCTGAGTCGACCTCCACCTGAAAACCCTGGAGGCAGCATGGACCTCAACCGCAAGCCACACAAAAGCACTCAAAGCAGCTGACATCCCCTGCTACCGTTGCACCCGCAGCTGATTTCTAAGGTAAGTTGCCATATATGGACAACATGGGACAACTCATGTGCGCAAGCTTGCTAAACCAAAAGTGCATCACACCCGAACATGAGCTTACCACGATGAGTTTCCCTGCTCCCGGAACCAGGCTCCAGCGCAGCCGAGCGGAGGCGGGGTCGATCAACAATGTTGCGGCGTGGTACATCTGGCTCCCTGAGTGCACCCTTTCGAACTTTTCTTGTGCAGTCATTTCTCTAGACTTCCTCAAAGAAGTTTGTTTCTTGGTCTTCTAGGTGCGGAGTCCGGCTGGGGGGTGCGGAGGGGGCAGCAAGACGAAGATGGCCTTCTCCATTTGAGGGGGATCCCTCCCGGCCGCAAAAGACAGAGATTGCTGCCACCGCTAGTGCGCAATAGTAACCGTGGGTCGTTGAAAGGGTTCGGACCCCCCCAGCGTAAGAGTTTGCAGCAACCGGCGTCATTGGGGGCACGGTGGCCCCAGCATTTCCCTCATGCATCCTCTTTTTTGGATCTGCGGCGCCTGAAAATAGGATGAGCTCAAACATCGGTCTAACATAGCCATCCTGAAAGTCAGGTGACAGAAGGGGGCGGCCTTTTGGTCCTTTTGGTCTGTGGCCACTCACAGACCCAGACATAGCGTGCTCACCGCAGCGAACCTGACATCCCGGTATACTTTCCATGTGGTATGTTGCTGGGCGACCTTCCAAAATCTGTCACAGGCGATACGCATCAGATGACCCCGGACGATGCTGAAGGAAGTTGCTGCCCACGCACACGTCCATACTTGTCGTAGGGTCTTCCAGCCTAGCTTGGTTGATGCTTGCCATGCTGTGCTGAAGAGAGAAGCATACTTTCAGGACCGTCAGGACCCTCCAGACAAAGCGACCCGGAACAGGAGCCCATAAATTCCTTTAATATTTGAGGAGACGAGGTCCACAAAGCTTGGTCTTTCAGTCTTTCCTCAATCATTTAATTCGCTTCGTCTCGACGAAGTCAGAGACAGCGCGGTCATCCCAGGAAGCAGTACTGGTGCCAGGCGAAGTCGGAGAAGCACAGGTGTCCAACCCATGGCACAGCGCGTAAAGGGAGCCGTTGCCAAGGAGTGAAGCATCGAACTAGTGATCGTGAATCACTGAGTCATTCTGGCCCGCTGCTTTCTTACGCCTATTTTCTTGAGAGCCTCTCTTCATGCGCAGCGAGACAGAGTTGCAAAGGAGTTGCTTGGAACCAAGACAGGCTCCCAAGAAGACAGCTGTAAGTCCAAAGCTGGCTCAAGACCAGTCAGTTTCCTGAGGTTTGCGGTTTGTCATGCAAATGCATGAACGCGTGAGTTTGGGCTTGTTAGGCGATGTTCTTCTGCAGTCGACTTGACGGTCCTCTCTGCGCAAGAAAGAACGGGGCACTCGACCATGCGATGTTGTCGAGTTCACACTTCAACATGACATGCCAGATCATGCCATGCCCTTCAAGACCCGGGTTTGTGTGTGTGCTTTGCAGCTCCACGATGCATCAAGTTGTGCTCATGGATTTGCATTTCTGCGTGGGTGCTGAAGCAATGGACACGTGCACGCAGTGACTAGTTCATTCCCCCGGATAGCCATCGAAGGAACTTTTGTCCTCTTCTTTCTTTCTTTCTTTCATTGGGGCATGAGGATTAGGTCGGGAGCTTCGCAAGCTCACAACCAAGTCTTAAACCAGTCGGTACTTTGCCCCAGAAGGACTTTGCCAAGACTGCAGGTGCGTCAACCTGCGGTGCAGCAATAAAATGGCCAGCGCGCCAGATACGACAGGAACAGGAGCAGTGCCGCTGTCAAAGAGCGACAGGGCGACCGAACTGACAAGCTACGCAGGAAGGTGCGGGCGAATTGAGAGGGGGGCTGAAGGCAGCCCACGGTTAGGATTTACTTAAAGACTTAATTTCCGAGTATCCCTGAGGGGCCCTGAGCCCTTCCATGGAAGAAGTACACTATCAAAGGCTTGGAGGCTGCGTGAAGGCAGCAAACCCCACATCAACCCGGCAGACACTGAAGTAGCACAAATCATGTACACAGACAAGGTAGCGTCGTTCGATGTCCACGCATACGTGGCATAGATACCCATTCCAAGCGGAAGCCGGCTCAGATACAGGTATGGCAGGTAGCATTGGCAGTTCGGGTCCAGCTGTAGTATGGCGACGTAGTACCTATACTTCTGAACCCCATGAGGATTAAGCTTACAGAAGAAGAAGAAGAACCCCATATAGTGAATCCTTCGGGCTTCTTGGGGTTTAGGACTATATCTTAAGGGGTCCGAGAATGGAGGGCCTCAAATAAAGCGGAGGGAAACCAGCAAAAAAGGTTAGAAAAGACACTCGTGTTTAGATAGTATGACACTCACTCTCACTCACGCTCACTCACAGGCTCTGAGGCGTCCAAACTGTCCACGTCTCGCAGTGACACCGTAGAGACAACGCTACACTCATGCCTCCGCTACAGCGGGCGCTGGCCGACGGTGCATGAGGGGGAACATCAGCTTGAGCATCTCGTGCTGCTCCGCGAGGGACGGCCGGCGCGCTGCTGCAAGAAGCTTGTCCGTCTGGGCCAGGGCTGCTTGCTCGTCCTGAGAAAGTCGCTGCAACTCGCGCTCTGCCGCAAACTTCACGAGGGCTGCTGCTAGAGTCTTGCGATGCTTGTCCGGATGCGGTTTGCCCTTGCCGGGGCTGCGCCCGTCGTAGTAGGCCGCTGCAGCCTGCATGGCTTGGGCCAGTCCGCATCCCTCCAGAGGCAGAAAGAAGCACGGCGTGGCACCTTCGAGCTGGCGCAGACGGTAGTCCAAGTTCTCCATCATGCCGACGAGCTTCTTGTGGTTCGCCGTGGGATCCTCCGTTCTGGGTCTCTTGCTCTGCTCCGTCGGCTGCATGGGCGCGTCCCCCGCGCCGTTGCCGATCCACATGTCGAGCTGGCTGGAGCCAGGCAGTTCCTGAGTTTCCTGGGCCTCGATCCACTGCACATGGGCGGTCACGAGATGCTCGAAAATGACGCTTGGCAGATGACATATTCTAGAAAACAGTCAAGCACTTGGGGCATTGATTGGTCTGCACTTCAGAACACACAACCATCTTATGCTTCGCAACTTCGTGCATGTTGAGGGCCCGACGGGTGTCAAAAAATGTTCGGGCGTTTTAGCTGGGAAATTTGTCGTCATGAGTTGACTGTGGCAAGCATGACAGATGTATGATGACCTTGCGGCGGCCAGATAGTATGACAGGGAAGCAAACAAGCTAAGAAGGAAATGCAGATGTGCTTCTAAGTTTCGTTCTCTCTTAGGGGCGGTCCATTTAACAAATCAGATGCCGGAGAATCTACCCCAATGAAAGGACAAAAAACAAAAAGATAGAACAGAATGGTTCGCCAATCAGCCAGTTTTCATCCACGGGTCTTCGCGAGAGGATGATAAAGGACATGATGTACCTGATACCCAGATGGATGAATCTTATGGATATCCATTCGGCGACGAGGATCACTTCGTGAATCAGGTGGGATTACGGATAACGATGTCATCGCTGCTGCAAGGAAATCGAATGGGATCTGAGCTCCCAGGGCCCCAGGGTTCGGTAGGGGCACGAAAGATAACCTTGATGATGAGGAGCGTAGGATCCGCAGACCCGAGTCCATCAAGAGAGGGTTCGAAGATGAGGAGAGCGGTGAAGATGTCAAGAGAAGGAGTGCTCTGATAGACCTGATGATACTTCGGATGCAAGCGCCCAGCGAGTAAAAGGTGCGAGGACGCTAGCCAATCGATACACATGGCGGGCCAGATTACGCCTGAGAGAGGCCGCGGAGGCACTATAAGCGTGTCATCTTCAGGTCTGGAGTCGCCGATTCCCACTGCAACCGGTAGACATACCGAACATAATTGTAGACGCTTGCGCGCGCCGCCTCGGCAGTCGGGCCGGCCCCAGGACAGGAAAGGAGGAAAGAGGGTTTCGCAAAAAAAGGGGAGGAAGGGCAGCGGGGTTAAAGGGGTGGAGGGGGAGGGGGGAGGAGGGGGTGGGGGGTGGGGGGGGGGGTTTTGAGGCACTCTCCCTGTAGTCAAGGACAGGCGGGACCACGGCATCGGTTTGCAGCTCCTCCAAGCGATTGGGGGGGCCCACAGGGCGGGGGGGGGGGGGTGGCGTCATGGGGGGAAGGGTTGGGTTAGGGGGAAGGAGGCCCGATCCGGGTCTGCTTGTTCCAGACGCTTCTCGGCAGGAAGCCGAGGCGAATATGTCCACGCGTCCACGCCTCCTACTGACGTCAAGGAAGTTGGCATAGAGCTGGTTCCAGTCCGTCGAAAAGGGTCGCTGGAGCAGGAATATCGCCTGAAACGACACAAAAGGGAGATACTAGAGACGGATGTCAATTGGAAATGGTAGTGATAGACGCAAAGGAGGGCATGAACAAGAATAAGGATGATATCAGAGGGATTGATCATATGTTTTCATCTCTCAGTCTGACAGCTCACGAGGCACGCAACACGGCGATTCATGCGATGAGGATTCCGCGTGATATCGAAGGTCAAGTCGTCACAAAGGTAGAGAACGAGCTTCAGGCCATTCGTAAGATAGCCGAGGGAAGACCTCAGGATTCTGGTCAAGTGCCCTCGTCGGTAGCTGGGAGTGCAATCGGGACAATGATTTATAAGAACAAGGAGATGATTGATACGATGCGATCGTCCTCAGCATCATCTTTTCAATATTTTGACAAGAAGGTCCAGGAGGTTGAAGTTGCGCCTAGTGATCGATTTGCTCAGATTGAGAACGAAGCTGATGGATTGAAAACCAAAGTGAGATCAGATACCTCAGCTGCGGAATCGCATACAAAGACTCTGGAAGGTCAGGTTGGAGATCGATAAGGCTCGAGGAGGCTGAGGAGTCTATTCGAAAGGTTTCGAACCGTGTTGAAAGGGTGGAGAAAGACATACAGCTGTCTCGAGGATCAGGTGGGGCGACAGCACCGAATGATACGAAGACAGAGTCATGCCCAGTTGGAGGTTGCTCGCGCAGTAAGCCAGCGTTCGACGCCTGCGTTGATGGGTCGACTCGTTTATGGAGTGAGTCGGAGTCCCAGTAGAGGCGGAGCCGCCGACGAAGGCGCCGGGAAGGCCAATGATGTGTCGGAATGACGGCGCAGATGATCTTCTGGTTGATGATCTAGGCAAAACGAGATCAGAAGCGGCTAGCGGGGCCCTCCAAGATTTTTGATACGTCTGGAACTCTGGGACTCATTTGGGGCTGGGTTCCAGCCTATCACGGTGTTCCTAAGAATGCAGCTGCACGGGGTCACGGTTCATATGCGTCCACACCTGAACACCTGATTCCTTGCACTCCGGCCCAGTGCCGCTTGATGCATCGCAAATCCATGCGAATCTGCACCAAGCAAGATAAAGTCTGAACCGCTTCCTGGAACTGGGGTTGTTTTGCACAAGAACCTACATTGCTGGTTACCCGCGCATATTTGGGCTCGTGACATCACAGGGTTAGGACAGCAAAAGCAACTTGACCTTCCAGGTTCAGGCCATTGGAGTTTGTTCGGCTGTGCGCGATGTCGATCTCAAGAGTAAAAGTTGGCGTACACTTGCGTTTTCGAGGATATCACGTCGTAAGACAGAACGACAACTTGATGACATATAATGACATGACGTCTGGTTGAGTCAAGCTGCTATTTAAGTTGGTCGCAGGTTGGGGCCACAGTTGATGCCATGGCGACGAAGCATTCGAGGCTGTATGGCACAGCAGAGAAACCCCGGGCGCCGGAGCTCGTCTTTTCTGACAAGATCGTTCAGGAGAGATGGCCTTTCTTCATTTGCTTGATTTGATGTAATCAAGCATTTGGGTGGGGTCCTACCTGACCTGTTCGTCCCTCTATTCGGGCATTTTCCAGTCTTTATCGCTTGTCAGTTGTGGAAGGATCTTTCTTTGTTCTCAACCATCTTCGCGGTGGTAGGGGCTACTAGGTTCCATTGGTTTCGTGCAACCGGACCTTTCAGGTGTGTCTGGCCTCATGAAGGCAAACTGACGTCTGCTGATAAGTAACATCGCAAGTGGTGTATAGGGTTGCCGGCGGTTGTGATGGGTTTCAGTTCAAGTTTTCCGCCAGTCACATGCGTATTTGCCGCCAGTCAGTCTTGCAAATGTTTCTCTGCGGGGATTTGGCCGCACGCTCAAGCTGACGCATTGCACTCATGCCATTGAAGGACCTCCTCCGAAAGGCTCGGGCACAAGTTCCCCAGGACTGAACGCATAAATTTGCGTTTTTTTTGGTCAGCTCAGTGGTGCCCTGATTGCAGCACCACTATACTCGTATATCTCGTATCGTAAGTAGGCTTACCGCTACTGCAGTTATTCCATGGAGTGATCTTCCTTTTGTTCATTTTCTTTGCCCGAAAGTTTGGATGTGCAGCTTCACATGGGCCCCGGTGATTTCAGCTGCAAAAACCCAGATTCGACCTTGATCCCCAGAATGGAACGTGTGATATCAAGCCTCGCTCCAGGATGTGAAGGATTTGCCGTTGATCGCTGTGAGATCATACGGCCGTGGGGACAAGCTCTGGGCGGGCACGGTGGGAATCCTCGCAAGGGTGCTGAGCCGCCGGCTTTTGGCGCGCACATTCGTTTTTGTGGCGCACACCGACTCCCACGTACAACAAGGTGTTTACCAAAATGCTGTCTCGGGCACGGCTTTTCAACATCGCTTGGTGATTGCTCTGCCCGGTTGCGCCAATGTGACCACCTTCATTTCAAGGCGCCCTCGTTTTTCCTCGCTCTAGATGTGGGGCTGTCGATTCTTGAACTCTGCTAGTCATTCGTTTCCCTGGAGTGCCCAAACCCTTCAATCGCCAAGAACTTGTTGCTCACATGAAGGCGCGCGCCGGTAGGGCAGAAGATCGTGGTGTGCGACGACAACTGGAAGGGCATCAAATTTTATCACCCAGACAAGGAACGGTTCATGCCGTTCTCTGCCCAGCAGAAGCTTGCTGCTTGGATGCACAACACACCAAGGGGGTTATGAGAAGCTATAAATGCCTGTGTGACCAACGCCCTAAACGCAGGGGGTAAGTCGCCCCCCAAACCCACATCAGAACAAGAAGCCGAAGCCGAGGATGAGTTTTTGAGCCCTCCAGAAGATGTCGAGCTTTGGGGTACTTCCCTGGCACACAGGATCGAGCAATTCGCTGGATACGCAGCCCAGTACTCAATTGAGGACAGGCGCACAATGACCCGTGTCCCTGGCTTGGTCTATGGGGCGTTGTTCGGTTTCACAGCCGGCAGATCATTGAAGTATCACCCGCGAATTTCGGACATCACAGAGGATGTTGAGCGGACAGCTTTGTATCTGGCAGACGGCGGACGCGTTGCACGCTACCGTTTACTGGTGGTCGATAAGTGTAAGAAGGGCGGCACCTTCAAAGCGAAGGCCGGAGGGATCTCTGCCCGCTTCACCAGAAACGGCCATGCCAGGTGCAAAAGGCTGTCCCGCCAAGCTGTCGCCAACAAGTTTCCAGATTTGCTGCGGTTGGCCAAAGCGGGAAAGGACTCGCAGGTCCCAGACCACGGGTTCATTTTTAAGCCACGGCGCCGCGGCGGGCGCCCGCTCAGCGTCTTGAAGACGCGATCTTCGACTGCCACGGAGCGCTCCAGGAAGAGGCGGGGCCAGCGCATCCTGGGGCCTCCGCGAAAGGCAGGCAGGAAGGCCGAAAGGCTGTAAGCATGAACCGCCACGAAATCTGGCTGCGAGTCAAAATGTTAACCTCAAGTGGTGGCCGCACCCCGGCCCGTTCCGCGACAGCATAGATCGAATCGCGAAGGGTGTAGTGCATGCGAGCACGAGCTCCTCCTGCCATACATGTCATAGATTGATGTCCTAAAGAACCCAATAGCTTGATGACAGAGCGGACATTGCCCTCCAGAAGTC